GGGGTAGCTTTAGCAATGCCCTTCCAAGCCAGTTCTGGGAGTGCTTTTAATAGAATTTGCCCTGGTTGCTGCCCCTCCTTTGGGAGGGCAGGAGGTGAATAACCTGTTGTGTGATAGTGAAATGGCAGGAGTTGGGAGTGGTATGGCCCACCTGTGACACCAGCCCTGTGGCTGGTTTTGTTAGTAGATACTACTTTAAGCAGACTGTTTGGCCAGGCTAATCCAGGTGCTTTTGTTAGATGTGTTTTGTTTTTTTTTTTTTTTTTTTTTTTGTTTGTTTGTTTGTTTTTTGTTTTGTTTTTTTGGATGGTATAAAGAGCTGTTGATCTTCAGCTGTATCTGGGGATGGGTTGGTGGCTCATAGGAATTGAATGAACTCTTTGTCATCTCATCTTGTTCAGGAAAAAACTAATGATCATTGAACTTTGAGGAAAAGAAGATAGTGATGAGGAAGACGGTGGACTTACCCTCACCAGATTTGCAGGATAATAAAAAGTGTAGATATTGGGAACAGCTTGTTTGCAATCCTGGGGCTAGATGGGCTTCAAGGAGAAGCACAAGAGTTGCTGCCTCAGGAATGAGAAGGTTTGAAGAGAGCACTGGAAGCTTATGGGGCAGAGTTGTTGCTGCCTTCTGCCTCTGGTGCTGATGTATGCCCTCGCTCGTGTGCGGGGTGTGACTTACCTGGCAGCTACTTGTGTGGTGAGATCTGCTCACAAGATATCCCCTGCTCTGGCTGCAGGGCCCTGGGCAGGTATTTGCTGTTCAGCAGAAAAGGCTATTAGTGTCATTGTTTATACTGTATTGTTTAATTATCGTTTGGATGTGGCCACCTCCTTTATTTTCTTCCTTGGCTTTAATTCTGTCTACTTTGTGCCTGAAACAGGCTTGGCAGGATCTTCCTCCACTATTCTTAGGGGTCAGCAGCTTCCTTCTTGCTTTTCTCCATCTTTCTTGCACACACTGCCCCAGCCTTTCTCCAAAAGCATATTCTGTCCCTTGCTTCGTTAAATAATGTCACGTTTATAATTAAGTCAGGAGTAAACTGTAATAGGGTTATTTTGGCCAAGCATTTCCATGATGGCTTTCTAAAGCAGGTCTGAATTTGAAGTGTGCCAGGGCTATGATGTCTTCAGCTCGGTGCTTGGACCCTGGACAGCTAGATTCTTCGGGTATATGATATTGAAAATGTTGGCCTCTAACAATATCTATATCTATCTGCCCCTTTGTGTATAGCTAGGTCTTACTGTGACTCTGCCAAGATGGTTGCATCCCCAATCACGCTGTTGGGGCATGTGGGGTGTCTGCAGCAGTACCACGCTGTGCTGGAGGTGATGGTGCTGCTCTGACCGTTACCCAGAGGTGACCAGTGCTGCGGGAAAGGTGCATCCTGTGGCTACCAGCATTTGTGTGTGTGGACTTGTGCTTTGTGCCATTTCTTCTGGCAAGATTAATGGATTGAACAGCAGCTTCAAGTGATGTAGACAAGAGTGGTTACTAGATAAGCGTTATTTTTGTCACTTTTTAATGATGTAGTTATTTTAAAGGGAAGAAGATTGGTGAGAGACAGTCAAGGACCAACAGTATGTGTACGATAATAAAATCACTTAGAAATGTAGCTTTCTTTGATTGATCAGTGACCTTAAAGGTCTTTTCCAACCTTAATGGTTCTATGATTCTGTTTCATATTTGCCTTATGGTGAGAATTTCAGGAGGGCAGAGATATACTGCTTGTGTAGATAGTTGTCTTGTCTGTTGGAAAGCCTGCTTTCTCTTGAAATACTAGTAGTCGGTGTTCAGCTTTGCTTAGTAAATTGCAAAGACTTGTGTGCTTGGCATAATACAGATTCAAAAGGTGGTTTTCAAGGTAGAAGTGTTTGTGTAATCCTTCTGCTGAACCTTGGTTTGTGACCCCTTCCTCAGTGGTCATTTGGGGTCTTGCATTGCTGGAGAGGATTTGATTAAAACCATCTACAAGTTACGTTTTTGTTCTTTCCAAAACCAGCTGAAATACTGCATATCATCTAGAATTTAGGCTATATCTTGCCCCATCTGAACCGCAAATTAATGTCAAACAGTTGATAACAGAGTAGACAGTACTGACTCCCTTTAGGAGAAGGTCTAACGATACAAAACCCATGATGTTGCTCACCGATGGAGCAAGACACTGTCCTTCCCTTCCTCACTAACCCAATCTCTTTCCTCCTTTGAATTTCAAGTGTATCTTCACTGGAGTTACAATGTGATACCTAACTGGTATGCAATGGTTCACGAGTTTTGTTATTTAGACACTTGAATATTTCCATACTCTGTAGTCTTGACCATATGTAGGGATTACACCTGAAGTTATTTGTTAAAAAAAACTTGGGCTTTCTGTAGCTCACAGAAAAGTCATTTCTTCAGGGCTCAATTTTTGGCCACTGGGATATATTAGCAGTTTAATCTTGGCATAGTAAATGTTAATTGTAATAGGAATTAAATTTGTTGTATTCTGACCCAAGCAATACATGCCTTGGGGGCTCTAATTCTGGCATCACAGCAATTTAAAGGAAGAGATTTACTGTACCCGGAAATTATATTAACTGCTGCTTTTACTACTCTGCTAGTTGGTTTTTTTTTTTTTTTTTTTTTTTTTTTTTTTTTTTGTTTTGTTTTGTTTTTTTTTTTAGTTACAAATTTTAAAACTCTCTAGCGGAATTTTTTTCCCATGGAAATGTAAATGCATCTCTGGTCGGGTGGTGGGATTTAGGGAGACTAAAGGGGAAAATGGCACAAGACCTGCTGCAGTCATCCTGTCGCAAGGCTCTTCCTATGGACATGGTGCTTCCTGATCTGCCTCTTCTACCCACTGATGGGGCCTTTGTGGTGGGTGATGATGAGCCCAACATCTGGTGCCAGGAAGGGAGAGAAAACTGGGAAGGAATGAGAATTGGAAAGAGAGGTAACTGTTTCAGAATTGTCTGAATAGTTTCTTGAAAGCCAAGTTTTCATCAGAGGCTTGTGTGGGCTATTAGAGGGTGACAAAGAGTTGATTTAAATGCAGACTTGCCTCTGGGCAGGGGTTGTGGGTGTCCCTCAGGTGGAATAGTGTGAATGGCTTTGGCAGCTCTCCAGCATGGTTTTACTGCTCCATCCAGCTGACTCTGCTCAGGTTACAGTTGTCAGTAAGATGGGCATACATTGTGTGTGTACTGTGCGCTGCATTTGACATAATCAATTACGATATGTGTATGCCCCTTAAAGCCTATGGTTGAAAAATGTATAAAAAAAATTGATGCAGAAGTCACATTTACAAGAAGAACACCAGCTGGAAACAGACTAAAAAAAAAAATGGGGTTTGCATCTGAAAGTGCATCTGCATTTTAAAAGGACCAGCAAAGGCACCACCTCTGGTTCCCATGCTCACGTATGCATATTTTTGTTCCAGAAAACCTGTGTCTGGCACAATGGAGGCTGCACCAGGGCGGTGGTGGAGTGAGAGTCTGCAGCCCCCTGCCCGGTGCTCCTTCATGTTCCCTGTTCCTGAGCTCCTGCTCAACGATAAGTTATTGCGTGGCTTTTGATGACTGAGTGAGAAGAATTTCAGCAATGCAGTCTGTAACATCATTACCTGCTTCTTTTCATGTAACAGAGGAGTTTATCCTTTTGTATTTTCTTTCAACCACATGAAGAAAACTCATAAAACTCATCCTGAAGCGGAATATACCTTTTATTAGAGAGGTCTGTTGTGTTTTAGTTGCTAGGATGTTGAACTGTGAATTGCAAGAGACGTGCCTAGGGAAGAGTGATGAGCAGGACAGAAGAGTGAAGTGAGAAGGTGCGTGTATTGCTGTGACAGCTTTAATGAGGAGCATATTGCTGAAGTTTATTGGCAAGAATAATACCTGCACCACTTCTTAGAGCTCTTAAAATGTTGAACCCACCTGGAACATGTTGTTGGCTGGTGCTGGTAGACAGGCGGGATACCCCACAGCTGGGCATGGGGACTCCTGTATCCTGTGAAAACTTACTGTGCCCCGTCTTGGCTCAGTTAGTCATGGTGCTGGTAAGCTCCTGAATCCTGCTATTGGCAGAGGTTGTGCTGGTAGTGCAGTGTCCAGCCCAAGAGCGTGTACTTAACGAAACAGCACAGGATCTGCTCTCTGTTCTTCGATAGCAAGGCAGGAAGGGCATTAAGCAGTGTTAGGTTTCTGTGTGTTGAAAGATTTTGAGGTTCTCGTGATCACTGTGCAGCCCTGGGAAGCAGAGGGGGTTTGGGTGACTGTTTCTACAGAGTTGATAATTGTGAGTGGGTTTTGGAGACCAGCAAAGTTTGTGTCTGTCTGTCTCCTAGAGGGGGGACAACTGCCGTTTGTGCTCCCTTTCTGGTGCTCTGTAGTTTTGGGGCAGAGCGATGGCAGTTCTACTCATATAAACTAAAAATATAGGACATAATGTTTTTTTTTCTGATTGTCCGTGCCTTTGGTTTCAAATACTTTACGGTGAGGCTTCTTCCTGAGCACATCTGAGAAGCAGGGAAGTTATTAGCTTATACATACAAACTTTTTCTTTGTTTGTGCATTTGATAAACAGTTGATGTGCTATCTTACCAACTTTCAGTCAGGAATATTTCACTGTCTTTTACTACTTTTTCTGTACAGTGCAACTTTTGAAATGAAAAAACTGGTGTTACTGAAGTAATGGATGCTAGTAGCGACTCAAAATATTTACCTGATCAAATGTGTGAAGTTTGAGTGCAGTCATTTACCGGAGGTCATGTTCCTTACTAAAAAATAACAGAAAAACTCTCAAATCCTGGTTTATCGTTTTGTTCTTTCAGAAGGATGGGGAGAACCATTGTCTTCTTTGAAGGTGTAGGAGCCACTAAGTAAAATCAGGACTTGCTTTTTAATGTAAATGTCTCTGGTGCCCAGATGTAATCTGCACACAGGGGGGAGGCAAATGTCTTTAAAAACATCTGGAGCTTTAGTGATTTCTTGTGTTCTGATTTTTCCCCAAAGATCCGAGCCAAGAAGAAACCTACTCCAGTGAAGTATGAAGTTGGGGATCTTGTTTGGGCCAAGTTCAACAGACGCCCATGGTGGCCATGCACAATTTGTCATGACCCAGTGCTGGACTGTCACTCAAAAATGAAAGGTACTGTATATACTCAGACCACAGAGTGGAGGTGTTGTGTATGGCAAGGCGCTGCAGTTTTTAATTAATTTAAAAAACATTTCTGGCCCTTGAAAGGTATGAAGAAATAGACTCTACTCTGGAAGACTGGGGTCTATAAAGTAGGTTTAGCTCAGGAAGGTGACAGGAGGAATATGGTGCTGGGGCTGATGGAAGTGGCAGAGAGAGCTCTTGAACATGTAGGCTTTTCTTCCCAGAGTATAGGAAGGATGAGTAGCTGGGTGGAGCTCAAGGCAGTGGAGAGGAAAGAGCAGCCTCTTGAAAAACAGATGTAGAGAAAGAGCAGAGAAAAAGGAGCTGGGTCAGAGAGCTGGGGACAGACACGTGCGTGGGTGGGCAAGCAGAGCTGGGAAGGCTGGAGTGTGTGGGGACGTGGAGTTGGCCAGGCTTGGAGAGCAGGAGGCTGGAGAGGCTGAGGAGCGGGGTGTGGGGTAGTGCAGTGTAGCTGCTGAATGCCTGAAGGTGTGATGGGAATGTGTGTGAGGAAGTGAAATTTTTTTTGGTCTTGTTTGGCACAAGGAAGCAAGGGGCTGTTCATGGGGAAATATCAGAAAAACCTGGAGATGGAGCCACATGTGTGAAAGTTTAGGGCATAGTGTGTCAGAGAGACTACGAGCCAGCTGAGTGTGAGGCGAAGAGATGGGGGAAAAAAGAGCTGTGCAAGCATGAATGTGGGGGAGAGCCACGGCCAGGAAGGGAGTCTTACAAGCTCAAGGCAGAGAAGTGTAGGTGAGTGATGGAGAGAAGAGACCAGAAGTGATTGGTTTGCTGTTAGGATCGTACTAGCTGCCATGGGGAGACTGCCACAAATGGAAAGGCTTATTTGTTTGTTCCTGGTTTCCCTTTCTGATTCTTTCTGTTCTGGGAGCAACTGGAAACCCCTTGAACTGGTGCTGTCTGCCACGGACAGCTTTGTAGACTGGTCAGGTTGCCACTCACCTATGTATTTCCTGTTTTTGTGGCCCTTGCCAAGCTAAGAACCAAGTGCTGAGAGCAAGCAGACTTTTTTTCAATTGGTCATCGGCTCAGACCCTTCTGCTCTTTGTCTAGAGACAAGAAGTAGCTTCTCCTACATTGTGCTCACATTATCCCCAAGTTTGGTTGCTGTAGTCTTGTTATTTCTCCACCTTCCCCTTCATCCTTTGGGAGGCATTCATCCTGATTCTAGATAATACTGAATGTGCTGTTTTAAATAGTCCCTTTCGAGCTCTCAAACTCCTGTCAAACATGTTGCTGGAAGATCTGCCAGACATATTCCCCCCGCCACATCCCTCCCCATGAAGTTTTGGACAGGATTTAATGTATATAGTTGTCCAGTAATCCCCTTTCAGCCTGTGTATGAGGATTTCTAATAAAGGAATTCTGCAGGGAGGAAACGTGCTATTAACAAATTCCAGCAAGGTCTGATCTCCAGCTACATGATATACTCTCCCATCATGTTTTATCCATGTTCAAACCAATAGAGCTCTGGAGAAAATTGCTTTTTCCAGTTGTGGCTGTATGTAATCTGCCTCTCTCCCCTCCCTGATGCTGAGGTGGCGGAGTGAGTGGATCTGAACTCCGGCGCTTTTGGGCAGGGGGAGCTGCCGAGGCCCTGTGTGAACTGTGGGAAGCACAGTCCTCCTGCCTTGGCTCTCCTGTTGCCAAGGGAACGAGCCTTTCAAAACAAGGCAGGTCGCTTCAAACTCATCACTTGTGCAAAAACCTCTTCTCTTGGGTTGGAGGCATGGTGTGTTGTTTAAAGCATTTTGCTTTTTCTCAGCAAGATCTTGAAGATTTTTGGAGCTGGAAAATTGAGGTTCAGTGACATGAGTACCAGTACTGTGAATGGGACAGATGAAGACTGTCATCTTTGCCCTTGGTTTGATGTTGCCCTGGTCATTATTTGTCATCCTCACAGTGGTCTTGGTCATAATCTCAATGTTGAAATCACTGAAGGCCAGGCTGCTGCACTGTGCTGGTGCTCCTGGAAGAGGCAGCACAAACCAAACGGGCTGCCAAGCATAGGCTACATATTCAGAGAGTGAGGGTGTTCCCAGGAGAACATGAAGCACACATTGCAGCAAAATGCAGGCAGAAGTTTATATCCCTTGCTCAACCCTTGTTTGCTCTGTTCAGTGCTGGTAACCTGTCCTTTTTCACCAGCACACCCAGTGCTGGTTCAGTTCTTAATTGTACCATGTCTGTTCAGCATTCTTACACAGAAAGTACCTTTGAAAAAAATCTTTAATTGTGCCCTTATGATTGAGTTTCTTCTCTTGCTCTGCACCTTTGTGCTCAAAGTATGGAGATAGTCATTGCAACTAATGTTTTGTCATGCTGCACCTAGTCCTTGTAGCGTGTGTGTGCGTGTGTGCACTTAATTCAATACTGCTGCTAATCTTTTATGTCCTAAATAAGAGTGTGTCTGGTGAAAAAGCATTGAACAAGATGGGATATATCATGGTGGGGGAGGCTCAACCTGTATGAGTAAATCCTATTCAGAAGGATGTAATTTCTAGGCGTTGCTGGCACACTTGCCTTTTCCCTGGACTGGAGTGTTTAATCGTTAATCAGGGAGTAGCAAAAAAGACATGTGCTGCCTAGTATGTTGTGTGTCTCAAGGAAAAAATTATTTGTATATTTTTGTAAATTTTTTTGCAGCCAAATTGTAGTCATTGCTGTAGGGAGATGACCCATCTTAGATCTGTTAATCAATTGTTTGTAAGAAAACCCCCCCACACTATTTAGAAATACAGAGTAGCAACACAGAACAGGGACAGAAGAGATGAAAGGGGTCTCCCTTAGTTCTGAGCAGAAATCCCCAGAACTGGCATTCATTTGGGAATGTTACTAAGCAAAAAGTGATTGAAAATTAGCTGGCAAATTGTTACCAATTTCTGTGATTCTTTTTGTGTGTCTTTAGTCTGTTATTTGCAAGGGGTTAATTCTGTTAAATTTTTCAAAATAGTTTCCAATCGGAGACCATACCGAGAGTACTATGTGGATGCCTTAGGAGAACCTTCAGAGAAAACCTGGGTTGCTGGGAAAGCTATTGTCCTCTTTGAAGGAAGACATCAGTTTGAAGAGTTGCCTGTTCTTCGGAGAAGAGGAAAACAAAAGGAAAAAGGCTACAAACATAAGGTGAGAGATCTGTTTTCTCTTAATATGTTTTTGATTATTTGAATCTATACAGTACGAAGTATTCCTTTATGCCTGGAATTGCACTTTGACAGCTTTCTTCTGTGGCAGTGACTATAGCAACATGGCCAGGGAAGGGATTCTTTGCATCCTTGCAATGAGCATAGTGTATAAGCTGCCAGGAGTTTCTAGGTTCTCTTTTATGTCAGGGTGTGGCCTGCTGCTCTTATTGCTCTAGACAGCTCTGAGGGGCAGAGGAGTCGGGTCCCTGTCGCTGTGAGATCTGTTCAGCAGCACAGCCCTCTCCTGATGTCTGTTACAGCACACTTCTAAATAACTTCCTGTGCTCTCTGGCAGCCTCTTTTGGCTGATGTGAAGCAGAGGTGGAGTTGCACGCTTTACTGGATCACTGACTGAGATAAAGCAGTGGGGTTTTTAGCCCTGCTTCAGTAATTCCTGGTATAGAAAACTGTGAGGACTTACAACTTGACTTGGAAAACAGTTTGTTGGTGAGCCTGTGGGAATGAGTTTTGTGACTCATCACATCACCTCCATTTCCAAACATAACAGCCCCAAGCAGTTGTAGCCAGTATAATGTAATGTGACACAGGGGTCTGGTCTACATCTTTAGGAAGGTGACTGGAGAAATCAACTTTTTAGAATTGCTAAAGTGAAGAAGTACAGAGGCTACTGTGCTACTGTAGGAGAGCAGATAGTAATACTAGGCAGTGGTGTCTGGATTTTCTTTTTCTCTTTTCCAAGAGGTTTATTAGCAGTTAAGTACTTAATCCATGTTAATGCAAAACGATCAGATTAAATGTGCTCTTGCAGATGTGAGTCCCCAGGTGTAATGCTTTCATTTGGTTTTCCTTTTCCAAGGGAATGTTCAGTATCTTCTCTAAGGACTTTGCTCCTTATGTTCCCAGCCCCCTAACAAATAGTGACATTCTCACAAGTAACTTTGCTGGTCCTAGAAGTGCTACATGCCTAGCATCTCATCCTATATGTTAATGGCAGTGCTACTGTGGCTGTAGTAGAGGGAATCAAATGTTTGTTGCTCGCTTAAATGTCCAGGTTTACATTTCTGCAAGCCAGGATCTGATGTGAAGCTGAAGTCTTTGGCTACTTCACTACCAGGCTCTATAAAACTTTTTAGTCTGCTGAGATGAGATTTTGTTGATGTGGGCTTTTTTAAAAAAGGAAAACTCAGAAATCTGAGTTGTTTCTCCTGCCTGGGAAATGGTTTTGATTTTAGGAGCAGTTGTGAAGTCTTTGACTTGCTGTTAAGAAACAAGTTTCTTGCTGTTTATAGATGGTAGCAGAGGTTTCTGTCCAGTGTGGAGAGTGCTTTTTGTTTTATGCTAAAGGTACAGAGTTAAAGCTGGTACACTTCTAGGTGATGGAGATCTTGAATTTAATAGAGTACATTTTAGATATGCGTGTGGATCTCTTGTTTACATCAGTGTGAGTTGAGGGAGTGGGAAGATTGAATTGTACTCTTGCATTTGGGATGCAGGAAGGAATCAAGAATGAGTAAAGCAAACACGTCTGCTCAAATATTTTGAGGTAAATGATGCTGCATTTGCCTTGATGCTTGTTGGCTGTTGCTTTGCATTGCTGTGCCAGGGATCCCATACCATATGCATTCCACTGTTCCGACTGTTGTGTACTGGGATGCCAGGACATCTGGTTCCTGGGAGACCTGTGTGTGCATGGCCCTTTTTGTCATCTTTAGAATGCACAAGGATATTTATTAGGCTCAGTAGGAGTGCAGGGTACTTACCCAGGAGGAGTATTTTCTGTGTCCACTGGACACAGTCTCTGGGAATCCATGTGATTGTCTTAAAGATGTAAAATGCAGGACTGTCACTGTTCTGTGCCTTGTGCACCTTGATCGTATTTTTATCTTGTTGGTTACCACTCAAATTTTTTTCTTTCTCTTTTTTATCTCCTCCAACTTTAAGGTTCCTCAAAGATTTATGGCTAAATGGGAAGTCAGTGTTGGACAGGCAGAAGACATTCTTCTTGGGGGGCCAGAGGATCAAAAGTGCAGCCAGAACTCCAGTGAGCTGGACAACGAGAAGGAAGTGCGGTCAGAATATTATGCCAATGGCCCTGAAGCAGTAAGGGACAGGCAGCTGAACGGCTGTTTTAAATCCTTGGCTTTTGACTCCAGACACCCAGCCAGTGAAAAAGGAAAATTGCACATTAAGCCACATGTGAAAAAAAGCTCTGACAGCAGAAAAAGGACTAGAGTAAAAAAGAGTGGCACAAGAGGGGAAGCATCTAGGGGAGAAATCAAAGAAAAAACGCCAGAGAGCATAGTTAGAAACATGATGATTGGGGACCTACCAGATAAACATGCATCTCATGAACTTCGCCGGATTGCCAACAGCCTAACAGCATCCAGTAGCACCAGGGAAAACCATTTGCTTTCCTCCTTTGGAGAAAGACGTTTTGAAAAGACACCTTTGAAACCAGACTATGAGAATCGTAAAAGTGATGCTCTGAAGAACGCTCTCCAAGGGGATTTGTTTTCCAGTGCATCTTTGGAGAGAGATAAGGGCTCCCTGGGCATTTTGTGCAGCTCCAAATTGCAAATACACTATTCTGCGTCTGATGCTGGTATTGAGAAAAAGCAAACTGAATCGGATTCATCCTCTTCCCTCTCAGATGGTGGGAACAGTGATGTAGATACCATGGACCAAAGTTCAGAGAGAGCCTCTAGTGCTCTTGAAGTTAGTGATTCTTCAGATAAAATGGAGAAGGAATTTCCTATGACGTCAAGTGGAAACATTAAGCTTTCCATGTATCTTTCTCAGAAGAGCAACAGAAGGGCCAGGAAGAAGTCATACAGAGATCGCAAACCTCTGGGAGGTTCGGTTACCAGCAGACTTGATGCTGAATTTGCAGATGGGGAGCTTGAAGGAGGCTTCTCTGATGCCGAGATGTCATTGACAGCTCTTGAGCGCTCTTCAGATGTGAGAAATGACAATCTTTCCCTAGCAAACAAGCACACTACTCCCCAGAGTGTTTCCAAGGACAGCTCCTGGCCTACCGTTGCAAATCCAGCAATCTTAAAACCGAAAAACATGAAATTGCCCCGAATTAGGAGTATAAAATGCAAACATAAAGAAAAAGTTGCTGGGTTGGAGCCTCCTCTTGCAGAAGAGGAGGGTGGCATGAATCGCTGCTCTTCTGATACCAAAGGTTTCTCTGGCCTTCAGAGAGATCCTCTTCAGAGAAGCGGAAAAGTTGATGGTCAGAAACTGTTAAACAACATGCATGAGAAAGCCAGGGATTCTGCTGAAATAGAAACGGCTGTGGTGAAACACGTCTTGTCAGAGCTGAAGGAGCTGTCTTACCGGTCCATGAACGATGATGCTAGTGACTCTGGTGCTCCAAAGGCCACAGTACCTTTACTTTTTTCTTCTGCCTCTGGTCATGGTCGTTTGCCTATTGAGCCAGATTACAAATTCAGCACCTTGTTAATGATGTTGAAGGATATGCATGACAGTAAGACAAAAGAGCAGCAACTGATGACTGGTCAAAATATAGTCCCATTTCGAAATACCAGCACAGCCGATGGTTCTGGAAGCAATTCTGCGTGTGGTCTGAAGTCCTTGTCTATTGTAGGTCCCCCATATAAAATAGAAAAAAATGGAGATTGTGTCCAGGAAACAGTAAATCCAAACTCTGCTATAAGCAACTCCTCATTTTCACGCAATCCTCCAACCAAGTTGATGGGGATTGGTACTAGTAAAAGGGAGCCCACGAGTACTGCTGTTTCTGGGACAAATGGCACAAATTGCGTGACCAAACGCAACTGTTCAAAATCTAAGCAGTCATCAAAGCTTGGAGATAAAACAGTTTCAAACAGAAAGGACTTAAAACCAGGAGGGCCAAGTAAGTTGCTAAGTCGGTTATCCAGAGATTCAGGAGAACATGCATTCCGCGTTCATGGTTCGGTTACCAGTCCTCTAGGTAATGAAGCAGAAGATACTGAGAGGAAAGAGTCTGTTGATTTAACAGAACATTCAACTGATGAAGACTCTGCCTGTTTATCTGATGACAATTTAGATCGTATTGGAAGGAGACCTGAAGCTGGTAGAAATATTGAGAGCTGCACTTCTGCTGAAAATGGGGAGAGTCCAGACTTGGATTCAGAGGCAAATAGTGAGAGCTCTCTTGGTGATGAGTCTAATGATATAAATCACGTAGCACCCAAAAAGCGATGGCAGCGTTTTAACCAAAGCAGTGCTAGATCTAATAAGCACATCAGTAGATCTAGGGAACAAGGAAACTTGGAGAGTGCCTTTGGCCTGAATTCTCGTGGCTTTTCACTGAAGGGAAATGAGTGCTTGGGACGTAGGCATTCCCCTCATTCCAAAGTGCTTGAGGGAAACCTGACAGATCAGGACTATAAGAATCATTTAGACTTAGTTGAGAAACATTTGAATGTATGTGGTAAGCCAAACAACAGTGTGATGGACACAGAAACAGAGCTTGGCAACTTTGCTCCCCAGTCTGAATTCTCTGCACAAGGTAAGGGAGCTGGACTTGCGCCAGAGTGTGTATTTGTATACATTTTATACTTTTTCATTTAAAGCATAAGTTACAGAACTTGGGGCTGTTTGACAACATGGAGATGTATACGTCTGAGCTGAAGAAAGTGTGTTTTGGGTTCTCTGTAAACATGGAGAACAAAGAAGGCAGAGCAATTATGGGCTTTTGTTTAGCTTTTTGCTCAGAAAGTTTAAATACATTACAAATCATTAGTTCCTCCACAGTGAAGGGTAAAATAAGCATCCTTCCAAGTTCAGGATTTGTTTTTTTTTTTTTGAAACTTACAGCTTCATAATGTGTTATGAGAGCCACATGCTTTGTGTTGGCTGGATAGATCAGCACTAGAAAGTTGAGGGAAACTGAGGCTCAGTGGCTGCCTTTGTTTTTTTTTAGTGCTGCTTGACAGTCTTTCTTTGGTTTGTTCCGTAGGATTTCATCAAGACAATGTGTTGGGGTTTGTTTTGTTTTGGTTTTTTGCATTTTAGTGTTGAACTTTATTAGCTGCTAATAATGAATTGGGGAATGCCACAGATTTCCTAATTACAGCTCTGATGTGGCTGCCTGAGGGATGAAAGGGAGAACAGAAGAGGGGGAAGCTGGTGGGGAGGCTTGGCTGCAGGTGAGTCTGGAAGATGGTAGGCAGAAGTAAGGCAGCATCACTGGAAGGGAAATGACCTAGGAATGAGGAGGAGGCTTCAGAGGACCAGAAGGTCAGGCAGCCGTGCCTCTCCCACAGGGATGGGGACATTTGGTTAAAGCCGGGGGCAGTGGGGAGGGCACGGGAAAGTGTGAAGGGAATAGGTCTAGCAGAACCATGTTCAACACATACCATCCTCAGACCTCTGCAAAGAATCTGGGAAACAAACCTTAATGAAAACAACAAAAATACTTTTTTACATAGATTTCACCAAACTAAATTGCTCTAATCGATTTTCAATATTATAAATTAATACAACTTGACAGTTTTGAACACGTGTGCATTTTGTCACTTGTGTTCCCTTAGTGCACATTTTGGTGTGTGTATTTTGCTATTAGTGGTTCCTGAAGGTTGCCTGCACCTCTGTTTCAGCGTCGAAAAGGCAGCTCTTGGCTTAGTGGTCGCAGGACCTGGCCGAGGCATGTCACGGCAGGCACAGAAAACAAGCCTGTAGGGTGTAACGCACAGGGTAAAAGTTCTGTTTTGAAGTCGTAACAAGCTTAATCATTCACTGACTGTTCTGGCTGTGGCTGCATGTTTTTGAGGACTTAAGGCTAGACAGAGCAGGTGAGAGGATGCACACTGTTCTGGGGCTGTCAAGGCTCTGCCACAGGAGTGTTGCAGCCCGCCGGAGGGAGCGAGTTACTCCTTTGTACTGAGATGCAGCTGGGTTTTCATGGCGGTTTTGCAATTGAAGCATCCCTGTAATGTTGCTATGTGAGATGAAGATGCAAGTCTACGGAGAGAGCTAGAGAAGAAGAGCTGCTAAGAGGTAGTAATATTAGGAGAGAAGCAGCAGAGGAAGGCAGCAGGCTTCTGGGTGAGGTGGCTTTGGTGGAGAGGAGTGCAGAGTTATCCTGATGTTGTACACAGGGATGTGGCAACAGCAAGGGCCTGGGTTTACTTGCAAAAGTGACAGATCAGCAACTGCAGTGTAACCTAATCCCCCTGCCCTAAGTAGCACATGAGCCTCGAAGCACACCTGAGGCTTCTCTGTACAGGTGTGTACAGGGAGGCACCGAAGCCTCTGTGTACGAGGAGCTGTCTGGACTACTGTAACACTCGCCCTGTGCTGGTGGTTGTGAGTAAACCTCTAACACTGTGAAAAGCCCACTCGTGGAAACCAGTTTTCCTTTTATATCAAGCAAGGCCAATTACATAAAAAGTAGAGAGAATGATGCTGGAAGTTAGACTAACTGCAGCTTACAGAAGAGGAGGAATTTCCTGTTTTGCTGGTGCTTTGAGAAGATGTGGCTAATCCTCGTCTGCAGCAGGCAGAATATCAGTGCAAGAGATCACAACAGATTGCAGTCACAACTTTAATTTCCACTAAGCTCAAACTAGATGAAGTCTTCATCATGGTTGAATGGCAACATTTGGCATATTTTTGCTACAAACTTTGTAGTGCGATTTAGAGCAAATAAGGCAGAAGTGAAGATTGATGGAATTTGCTGATGTAAAACATTTTTATAAATAATAGTTTCATCAGGTATGCGATTTGCCAGTGCCAGTCAGGCTGCATTTGGGATTCGTGTATGGGATTCACTCTGGGGAGAAAAAATGCAGTTAAGCCAGCCCTTCTGGCACAGTGTTGTGTGCTCTGCTGCCTGGCTTTGGGACTCTAAAGTTCTTCAGTGAGGATACTCATCATATAACTGGTTATGTGCTGAAAAGTGTGTTTTACCCAGACACCTGTGCAGAGTGTAAACAGAGGCTGAAAATAGCAGTGTTTTAGAAAGTTGTTCCTTTCTTCTCTTTTGGCCAAGTTTGACGTTTTCATGCTTGTTTAACCACAAAGCCACAATAAAGTGTAGCACTCTTGTCCAACATCCCTGTTCTGAAGTGTTGCACTGGAATGCTTTGTTATAAAATGTTTCCGTTTTAAAGAAGAAAAAGCCACCTCCTACACACAAAAAGAAGCAAAGAGGATATTTGCTGTTTGTTCATAAACTTCCAGAAGACCACAAATGTTTTCATGACTAGGAGAAGTCTTTTGGCAATGATAATTTTGAAAGCTATAAAAGATGAAAAGCTAGAGGTATTCTGAGAAGTGAGAAAAATACATAAACTTGCATCATCTTGCTTTTGAAGCCTGCTGAGTAGAAATGACATAGAGCATCAGGGCTCTTTTTTCTTTGGAGCTTGCTGTGCACTGGGGTGTTGAGGTGGTATAGCATGGGTGGTTAGGTTTATGTCTGGGAAATACCTGTTACCAGGTTTCCCTTGTGATGGTGCAGCATTGTGCAAACACAAAGACGTATGAGCCTTGAAGAGCTTGCAGTCGCTGGCAAGGACTGTTCGCTCCCTGATCTCATTGTGGAATCTATTGTTGGGAAGCAAAGGCAATAAATGGGCTTGCAGTAGCAGATGGGGAATATAAGGCTCTTGTAGTATATACAAAAATATGCCAGAGAGGAGGGGGAGGGAAGGAGTTAGTCTTAGGCATTACTAGTGACTGAGCCATGTTACGGGAAAACAGTGTTTTCCTCTGCCCCTGCACTAAAACCAAAGGAGTTTGGTTTAACAGCAAAAGTAGGATGATGAGTCTGAGTTAATGGTCTTAGGTTTTGGTAAAAGTACTGCAAGAATGTTGGTTGTAGTTTGTCTAGGGAGATGTTGGGTGAAATTCCAGGAGCCTTCTCAGTCAGGTATCTAATGTTACTTGATTTCTTACCTGAACTGCTTGAAGTCCCTTAGGTCCTTAAAAATCCCACCTGGTGTGTCAGCGTTGTGGAAAATAAGAAACTCAAAAAGATAAGGCTGTATCAAAGAACAGGAAGTATCAGGGCTGTTCCCACATGGAGCCGGTGGACGAGAAGTCAGGAACAACAATTATCAACAGATCATGAGGAGAACTTTGCCTTGTGTTAGTCTCAGAAACACAGTCTTGAAGCTGCTTTCCTTTTTCTTAGTACATTCAGAGAGGAAACGCCTTAGAAAGCCAAGTAAACGGCTTCTGGAATATGCAGAAGAATATGATCACTTATTTGCACCCAAGAAAAAATCAAAGAAGGGCCAGGAGCAATTGCAAAAGGTGGGTGAAGGCTAATGTGCTTTTAATGGTTATTACTCTGGGGCTCTGGTCTGCACGTTTTTTGTGAGTTCTTGCTGGTCGAGTGTTCTTGCTGTGTGCAGAGCTGTGCAGGATGAATGTTTTCACCAACATGTTTCGCTATGGTAGGTGAATTCTGTGGTGAGGTCTGAATTTGAAGGAGGTCTTCCTGCACAATGCAGTCCTGACAGAGATACCCTGCGGGGGCCAAGTCCTTTGGTTTCAACTCCATCTTCAACCAAAGAGTCCCCTCCCATCCTTGAAGCAGAGTGTTCCTTCTCAGAACTAGGATCCCATTCCACTGATCAACTTCTAGAAGGACCTTCACATTTTCCAGAGCTGGTGCTGTCTTCCTCGGATGTTTCTGAAGTTTCTGCTTCTCCAGATGCAGAAGAGAGATTCCTGAAATCAGGTAAGTGGGAGGTTGATTCTGCTTCCACAAGTGAACGTATCACAAGTTCAGCGGAAATTGTTACTTTGATCAGCATGAAACGGTTAGTAGCTGTTGATCTGTTAGTTTGTTTTTCCTCTCCTTCATCCAGTGACCATTAGTGGTGCTGGGAAGGTAGAGAGGGCAGGTGCAGTGGGTGACCCAATGAGCTGGATGATTACATTTATGCTACTAGATTTCTCTGTGTGCAGTGGTCCTCCTTAGGTCCCCTTTGTCCAAATTAAGAAATTTACAACTCCTTCTCTGAGTTCTTGCCATCTGTGCTTGCAAACAGTGGCATCCCTTTAGCTTGAAGGTCCGTTGCTGCTGTTAAAACCCTTTGGATGAACATTCCTGTGCTGAGGTTGATATGCAGAGTCTAATCTGCATAGTTCATGGGGTGACCTCTTGCTCTCCTACGGAGCTCAGGGAATTGTAGCACAGAAATCCCTCTGGAGCTTTTTTTCTTAGAGGTGCTAAGCATCTGTAGAAATTGTTGGAGACTTGTACTAGCAGCAAGCCAGGGCCTTAGCTTTCAGTAAGGCACAGTATACAAAGAGTCAGTGTGGTCTGATGGGCTTTTCCCCTTTCCAGTAGAGTCAGTATCAGGGTCTACTTTGCAGCATGTTTGTTCTCTGGTAGTGTCTAAAGACACATTCAGAGTTAAAGCCCTGGTGTGCTGGCTGTGCTAACTTGGAGGGGACACTGTTCTGGTTATAAAGGGCCTACGGTCAAAAAAAATAAACTGAGAAGGGAGCTACAGTCACTGGGAGGTCAGCCTGTTATGTTTGAGGGCAGAGGGATTGCTTTTGGGGGCTTGTGGGTGTCAGATGAAAAGTCAGAGAGGATTAAAGGAGGAGAAACTGGGGATGTGAACCTGGGGTTGGAGATGCAGGAAAACAGTAGAGGGTACAGCAGTGGACACAAAAATCCAGTATGCAGAGGTTGCATAGCTCTTCCCCCTCCTGAGAAAGCTCCCCTCTTGCTGAAGCACCCGGAGCCCAAGCTATGGGCAGAGGCTTGCCTTGGGAACGCTGCTGTGTTGTCCCTGCATTAGGTGTCTCATGCATAAGCAGTGCCTGCAGAAGTGTGTGTCACAGAAGGAATACAGCTGAGGCTGATAAAGCAAGCAGATGAACAGGGTAGGATGGATAGCAAGCTGTTTCTGTGGAGTGTCTTGCACTTAAGGCGTCATCATTTCCTGGTTGTTCTAAGTTCATACTGTCGCCAAAATTAGTGTGGATGAGCCCAGGTATGGCAACTTGTTATCTCCTGAGTGCCAGCAAAAAGCTTGAATAGGAGATGGTGCCGGTTACAGCTAGTTTATTTGGGGTGGGTTTTTTTCCCAGGTAGTTTTAACAGGGAGCATGTGCTTTAGCGTGTTTATTATGCGCAGCATGAATGTTGCTGTGAGTGGCGTGGGAGTAGAGGCAAGGCTGTATTTGTCAGTGGTAAGACTGGCTTATGCCAGATCAAAGTGATTGGGAAATTATGATCTCAGTTGCGCTGCCAGGATGTCTTACCTGCTGGCATTGACTTCATAGTCTCTTCTGTGGGTGGATTTTTGTATTGCACATTGAGGTATGCCTGAAGGTCATGGCAGGCTGTGGTCCATTTTTGTGGAAGTTGTACAGAAACAGGTAATTGACGTCTCTGCCAAAGGAGCTTATGATCCCAAAGACAGGGTGAAGCAGATTGTTTTGAATTGATGGCTGGTATTTACTTAATGATCTTAGTCTAATTGAAGAGAAGAAAACCTCCATTTACCTGATGTGAAGAATTTCATTGCAGGCAACTTCGAAAGCAAGAGACAAAGGAAGCCCACTAAAAAGCTCTTGGAATCCAATGATTTGGACACAGCCTTTATGCCAAAGAAGGAGGAGTGGACTCCCCCAAAGAAGGTACTTTCCAGCTCTCTTGAAAACCAGATAGAAAATGAACCTGGACAGCAGACCCTGCTGACTGAGACACAGTGCAATGGGCTGTGTTTTTTTTGTTGGCGGTGGCCCAGGAGCAAAGGTCCACCCTTCCCAGAGGTGCTTATTGCTGTGTTGTGATGAAGAAATCTGATGAATACAGATGTGTTCCCCACCCATCCCCACTTGTAATGGAGATTGGGTAGTTTTGGCTGTAAAATCTCTACTCTTCATTGATTTATATGGAAAAGAAGTCATCTGGATGCTGGCTGGGAAGGTGTGAGCAGAAATGTTCTGTGCAGAGGCTTTCTGTCACTGTTACATTGCAGTGAAGCTTGAGCTTGAACCTAAGGCTTTTCCGTCAGATTTCCTCTGAGCAGTGTTTCTTTTGTTACCTTCCCAAGTGAGCCGCTGAATGGTGTGTAAGTGCAGAGCTTGTAGCAGGATAGAAGCTTGAGTAGTATCACATGTATACGGTGCTTGGTGCAGATTTTTAAAGAAAATGCTGCTCTTTGCTAAATATGAAATATTCAGTGACATGGTTTGGAAAAAAGCAACTTTTAAACTACTCTTTCAGGTGGTGTATCTGGACAAGACTTGTTGCCGCTGTTTCTAAGGTTGATGAATAACAGTTTTCCTCATTTCCTTTTTCTCTCTCTGTGTGGCACAGTCTTAATACAATTATCATGGTTGCAGTAATGCAAAAGCCAGTGTATCTCAGTCTTAAGCTTCATAAAAGTGTAAAGCCAGAAGAGAGTGTCTCTTCCGAGCAGCTTACAGGGTGTTAGCAGCCTTTTTGGGGGAGCACAGGAAACAGTGGATGATGCTGGTGAGCACAAGACACAGCAGACTTGACATTCCTCCCTGCCCAGAGACTGACTTTTCCACGTGGGATCTGTCACACACACAAAACAAATGTTTTCTTGAAAAGTCTCTAATGACTGATGAATTCATGACCTGAACTGTAAGTTACACTTTGCAGTCATTCATAAAGGTTCTGAGTGACTGAAGCATGTGCATTGCTGATCTGCATCTGGTGACTTGACTCTGTTATGTATTTGTAGGGCACTGGCCCTTCAGAGAGCGACAGCTCTGAGCTCTACTCACCAGCCCACTTCTCAGACCTGGGAGAAGGTAAGTGGAGGCAGGGCTGTGGGGGTAAGCTGTTGGTGACATTTTGGGTCAGTGCCTGTGGCTGTGTGTGTGTATGTGTGTGAGATCTTGCATGTCCTGGGCTCACAGAGGGTGTTTGCCTCAGGTGAGGCAGTGGCAGGAGAAATAGGTACTGAGATTGTTTATCCAAGATACTGTTATGTCTTTGATTTCCCTATGGAAATTGGAGATGGTGGGTTCATCTTTCCATGAGAGGATGTTCACTTCTCATTCACGGTCTGGGTGCTTGAAGGAAACTCATCAGCACAAGTTCTGTACCAATACGCTGTCTTTTCTCTGATGACATGCTGGGACCAGGCTCAACAGTGGCTGCCCTGTCCCATGGACAGCTGTGCAGTTGCACTGTATTCCCTCCCTGTCTGCTGTTGAATCGCATTGGTATTGACATAAGGAAGTTTTTGTTGCAGTACAGTGGGAGGAGGTAGTTATCAGCATTTGATTAGCAGTTTAAGCTTTGTGTTGGTAACATTTCTTTTTTTCTGCTGGGGGGGCTGTCTCAGGAAAGTCAGTGATACTGTTGCAGGACAGAGGGCAGGCTGCCTGAGGCTAGTATTGCCCCAGTCCTTATGCCCTCAAACACAGTGGGGGACCCAGCCTTTAGCGCTCAGAAAGATTGTAGAACTTGCTGATGTCACCTGTAGCAAGGGAATTATTTCTTCATTTTCCTTGAGTGGTCTTTCTATTGCATCCCAGCTTCTGAAAAGCTCTTGGAGAAGCAGCGGAAGCGGAAGAGACAGCGCCACTCCTCTGCTGCAATGCATTCCAAGAAGGAGAGAAATGAGGAGGGGCTGGGGGAGACCCCACACTCTGAGGTACTGTTGGGTCTTCCTACGTGCTGTCATCGCTATAACATGTCTGCTACTTCCCAGGGCACTTTGCAGAGCCTAGACCAGGTCATCTTTGGCTGGCTGGTGTGTCAGTTGGGAGTTTGTCCCACTGATAGTTACATGAGTTGGGGTTGAAGCTGAAGATACCACCTTGATTTAGTAGCTGTTTTGTGATGACTGCTTAACTCAGGTGCAATTTTTAAGCTGCTACTCAGCTAATCCTCCAGGAGAGAGGTTGTTCTGATCTGATAGAATCCGATCAGAACAGGATCTGATGGATCCAGGTTTTGCCTGGCATCTTGCTTTGCACTTCCGAAGGTCTAACTGCTGTAAAAGGTCTTCTCTGGTGGTGGTGGTGGTGGTGTGAATCTTGCCCTTTTTTGCACCAGTATGAAGCACAAGCACTAGACTGTGGACTTCAACCCCTTCTTCCACTTGCCCCTGCATGCCAGGGTGAGCTAAGAACCATGTTGGAGGGGATGGGGGGGACTGTCTGTGACTGCTCACAGGAACCTCTGATTACATTCTGCCGTCCAGCAGAAAGGAATAACTGGGGCAACTCCCTTCTGCTGCATTCCAGCAGAGTTGGTGTACAAGTATATCTGACAAGCACATTTTGCCTTTTAGGAATGAGCCAGGTATCATCAAGTGTAGGGGAAGCAAGACTTTTCCTGGGAGAGGCGGGACACCACTGGGCCTCTCACCATCGCCTCTCACTTCCAGTGGCCCAGGTTCAGCAGCAGGCTGTTCTGTCAGGATAGTCAGTATGTATTTCAGGAGCCAATTATAGACATATATTGTTATATTTGTTGTTGTTATACAGCTTCCAGGAGAGCACAAACTTCACATCACTTTGTCTGAGCAGTGCCAGCCACCCTGCTGCTACTGCTCTTTGAAAAGGTTGTTTCTGATGGGGGTGGTAAAGTGGGGTAATACCCCTGGGCTGTGCAAGCCATCCTGTGATGGTGTTAATGCTCTTTCTGAAGTGTGCTCATCTGGAATCATGTTTGAAAGAAACTCGTACAAATATCTTTGCCAGTGCTGGGGGGCAGTTAACACTGTCTCTTTTAGGTACCCACTAAGAGACTGGCTCAACTCCAAGCCAGCAAATTCTTTGTGAATCTTTTATAGGGAAGATAAGAGGGGACAACTCAGAGCAGCAAAGTAGCTAGGCCATGTCTCTGAATCCTGCACCCACCATTCACTGCACAGGAAACTCAGGGAGTCTTAACTGCCTCCAGCCTTTGACATGTGTGTTGAGTACCTGAAGTTAGGTATGGTAAACCATGCCCAAAAAAAAAAAATAAAAAATGGCAAGACTTGGCACCTTTTGCCAGCATCCATTTCTCTGATTATGTCTCTTGAGCCACTGTGGTGAGAATGTTCACCCCTTGGCTTAGCTGAGTTCATGGGTACTGGTGAATATTGCGGTGCAGTGGGAATGCAATTGGGCTTTTATGTGGAATTTGGACCATGCTGGTCCCTAAGTAATTTGCCACTCACCAGGCAAGAAACTGCACTTTGCGCTGAACGGTGCTAGAAGAGAAGCCTTGGATCCAGCTGCTTTCAGAGGAAAACAGGGCAGAGGATACCTTGTCTGCCTGGGCTGAACTAAGCAGCTTTTTCTGTCCTTGCCTGTCTGTGGAGCCAGGAGTGCAAGTTTACGACATCAGGGCAGGAAGAGACTGAGAGAAGGGGATGGAAAATACTGTTGAAATAGTTGTCAAGGTTGTGAGCCAAGGTCAGGCTGTGCTAAAGAACAGGCCAGGCATTTGTGGATGTGCCAGATACAGCAGCAGAGATAGCTCTGGAAGAAGACCCAAGATGACGAGACCTGCCCTCTATAGGAAGTGTGTGGTTTTGCAGTGCTCATTCTGGGTAGGGGAAGGAGGGGCAACAGTGTGGCAGGTTCTTTAGAGTCATGGCCTTGAACGGCAATTCCCTTCTCCCTGTTCACAAAGCACAAGTATGTGCCCTTGCCCATCCTGCCTAGCTCTGACATTCCCTTCCCTGTGCGGTTCTGGGAGCATTGATTAAAATAAGGCCACAGTCCTGGTGTGCAAGACATGCAGATCGGCCAGCTGTTTACAGAACCAAATAGGATGAGTTTAGGCTGAAAGAGCAGGTCTAGAGCGTGCTGTGCCACACTGGGGAGTGTGGGCCCAGTTGTTAAGGTAGCATTTCTACTAGCATATGCTTTCAGATCTGAAGAGGGAGTTGCTGGTTAATGTTACATGACTCCTGAACGCATTTTAGTCTCCCATTCCATTAACACATAAAACATGGCCATCGGGGTTCAAACCAAGGAGTCCTAGCAGCCGTGGTAGGCAGTGGCCAGAAGGATGGAAAGAAACCAGTTCTAAATCCCTCATACCTTTGTCTGTAGCTAATCTGAGTATGTCCTCTTCCTTCCAAAACACTGTCTTGAAACCTTAGCTACAGCAGAAAGCTAGTGCCACTGACCACAGGATGTGTGGTGCTTGTTCACCAGCGCCCTGCCCCTCCTGACAGGGACCTCAGTTACTACAGGAGGGGCTGAGCTCATTTTGTCTGTAACACTGGGGCCCAGCATAAGCAGAAGCTGACGTCGTTTGCCCATACCAATAGCTGATTAACCCTGCTCTTGTTCTTTGTTACAGTGACCCCTGCAACCCTGAGGTCACTGCTGAGCTGAGCAGAAGAGGGAGCACCTATGTAGGAATAGGAGGACCTGAGCTATACCCAGTCCTTGGAGCACTGATTGCCAGTGCTGCTCCTGGAGCATTCCAGGAGCCAAAGCAAGTGTTTGGGCCAGAGGACTGCCTTGCAGCAGACTACATAATTCCTAGCAGAAATACAGCTGCAGGAGCAGAAGTATCATAGCAGTTAGCTTGAGAAGGTGCTGTTGCATATAGAGGCAAAGAAAGATGGCTGTTGTGTTAGATGGTCTCTTTACCAATGCTATAGTGACCTTTCTCTTCCCTCTGCCAGGGCGGTGTAGTAGAGTGGCAGCAGCTTATGTGTCCCTTGTCAGTATTTCCTCAGGCTGCATTGCTGCCAGCCTTCCAGTGAGATTGTGACCATAGTATGTAGGCTGCACACTGTATGGTATGTTAAACTGGCAGTAGTTTGTAGCTGGGACTTTGCTTTTATTTGTGCTCAATAAAGGCAACTTACACCATTCATCTTTGTATTGTGTGCTTTAATGTACTGTCAGTGCACCTGTGCATCATTGCTCCATAGAACTCACATGGCTTTAAAATGTCCCCAAATAAAAGCATACTGCTACATTCAGGGAATGGGAAACAAAAAAACAAAACAAAACAAAAACAACAAACAAACAAACAAACAAAAAAAAAAACCAAACAAACAAAAAAAACAACAAAAAAAAAAACCACAACAAAAAAAAACCACCAAAACAGAACAAAAGGCAAATGAAACATCAGGAAACTTCAGGTTCTTGGCAGATCTTTATGTCCTTCTTTTGCCCAGACTAATAATGTGTTCAGAGGCCATTCAGTTCAGCTTATAAGCTTTAGTAGTACCACAACCCACACTGAAACTGTCCCATACAGAAATTGATGCAAAGCGCACTCTCATGATTGTTAGGTGAGCTGCTGCTCCTGCCAGCAGTTTGAATTCCTTACAAGGTCTGTCAGGTGTACAGTTTGTCTTCGGTCATGCACTGCGTATGGCTCGGTCACACAGGGAGGAACTGGCAGCTGTGCCCTGCGATCGGTCAGCTAGCTGCAGTGAAGTGGGATATTAAAAAATGGCAGAGTCCTTAAAATATTCTTGCTCAAAGCACTTAGCTAAAGGCATCACTTTGGTGCAACATTAATGGCCCTTAAGGCACACCCACTCTGGAGTGGCAGCTGGAGCTGATGAGACCACTGAAGTGTTGCCAGGAGACTGGGAAGCTGGTGGGAGGGTGTTTCCTAGCTCTTAGTTGGTTGTCGTGACAAAAGTGAAGGCAGTGCTCTCACATACAACTCCAGGACAGCAGTGTCTTGTGATAGAAACAAGTCTGTAGGATACTTGTTGCTTTCTTCCCCTCTAACAGTGTCTGGGCAGGTCCCATGGACTCCTCAGAAGGTGCCCTTCTACCTTGGGGAGCATTATGGCAGGATCCCTGACCTGGCCCGTGAGGGAGTGGTTGGGCCTTTGTCATTTGAAGCTCCGCTTTTCAGCGGGATGCCTTTTCAGCAGTATATGTTATGGTCAGTGCTGTGATACGTGTGCAGGACAGATACTTATGAAAGCCTCACTACCCCGGGCAGGATGGTGGTGTAAATGCCCTGCTGCACTGTTCACTTTGATGTTGGCCAGCTAGTTTATACTAACACAGGCCTTGAGTACCTACATACCTGTATTTTACATGGGTTAGGACAAGCTGAGACAAGTGTGGGTCTTGCTGGGTGACAATTGCAATAAAGGTAGTTTGAAGTTTTTCATCTGCGTTTCCAGTTCAAGCAGACATTAGCATGCAAGATTCTTCAGACTATTCCAGCCTACCTGATTTGTTTCTATGCCGGGCAATACCTTTCTTCTTCAGCCATGAAGTCTTCCTCAGAGAGGGGCTATGCACCGGAGAATAATTGTGTTGTGTGTGTATTTTTTAATGATCTAGTAAACTAAGAGCTCTTTCATTTCTTTTAAGTCTTTCGGTGGAACTGTATGGGGGATGTTCTCTCCAGGGTGGGTAACACACAGATCAACTGCCAAACCATTTATGTGCTTAAGGGCTGAATTTGTAGTTTCCAAGTCAGGACAGGAACTACTGACAGCCTTGATTCTGGATTTCTTTTTTAAAGGGGGAGACATCAGTTCATGGAACTGCTGCAAGCCCCAAAGAGGGTAATGAAGAAGGGTCAGAGAACGACCATGGAGTGCCTTCATCCAAAAAGATGCAGGGGGAGCGTGGAGGAGGAGCAGCTCTCAAGGAGAACGTGTGTCAGGTAGTGTCCTTGAAGAAATCTCTTTGAAACCTTTACCACTGTAAAGTGTTTTTGTGTAAGTTCTGGGATGCACTAGTACCCTAGATAAGCCTGGGTAGCTTTAAGGTGCTTATTATAGAATTAACCAGCTTTTTGTGGCTCTGAATTGAGCCTTTCCTCCTGCTAAAGTTCACAGATGTTAGGGGGAGATATGACGAACGTAGGATTCATTTTAACTGATGAATGCAGGGACTGGATGGCAAATGGCAGTGGTGATACACAAACCACCTGAATTTACTGACACCAGAAAGCCAGCATTTTTCTGTAGGGGTCTCTGCTGGCAGTCCTGGCCAGCACACAGATTGTTGCTGTCTGGGCTGAGTTGGGGAAGGAGGTTGCTCAGAGCTGACACGGTGCTTCCTTCCCCGCAGATCTGCGAGAAGCCAGGGGAGTTGTTGCTGTGTGAGGCGCAGTGCTGTGGTGCTTTCCACCTGCAGTGCCTTGGGCTCTCCGAGATGCCAAAGGGCAAATTCATCTGCAATGAGTGTTCTACAGGTATGGGCAGCTTTTGTGAGTTCGGGCTGTTTGCTTCATGCTTACCTGATGCTTCTTTTGCTGTGGTGATTGATGTGCCTGTAGTAAGGCCGCTAACTGGCTCTCAGTCCTCTGATTATTGATTTGATTAACTGATCTTATTGTTGATTCAAGCATGTGGGGTGTGAAGAATTGAATGTCCAGGATCTGGTGGGAAAGAGAAGGGGAAATTATTCTCTGAGACTAGGGAGATAGGGCTGGTGGGGAGGATGACTCTGGAGCAGGCTGGAAAGAGAGGAGTGTCTGAGCAGGGTTGTTGATTTTTGGTTTTCATCATATTCTTCCCTGGCCTGAAATCACAGCTATAATAGTGGGGTTTTTTGATCTGGAGTTTTATTGCAACTGCAGGCAAAACCAGCCTGCTGCAGAGACCTGGGCTTTGGGATGGGTACAGCAGGTTGGGAAGTTGTGCTGTGCTAATATGCAGCCTGGTGGAAGTGTCAGGTCTTCATGTAGCATTTCTTTGTGACTGGTGTTACATCTGCTGCTCTTTCTCCAGGGGTCCATACCTGCTTTGTGTGCAAGAGCTGTGGGGAAGATGTAAAACGGTGCTTGCTGCCCCTCTGTGGGAAGTATTACCATGAAGCGTGCATACAAAAATACCCACCCACAGTCATGCAGAACAAGGGCTTCCGATGCTCCCTGCACATATGCATGACTTGTCATGCTGCTAACCCAGCAAACATCTCTGCATCTAAAGGTACCAAAGTCTTCTAGGGTGGTATAGGGGATGCAGTTCAAAGTTTTTTCTTTGTTTCATATCTACTGTGCAGTTACCTGGTCCACTGGTTCTTTATGCAGATTTTCTGTCGTTGCCACAGTGCTTGCTGTAGTGTTTGCTGAGGAATAGCTTCTCTGGGGAGTGGAAGGGCCGGTGTCGACCTACGAGGTTGCTGCTCATCAGCACTCCTGGTGGTCAAACCCGGCAGCTAAAATGTTCTCCTCTGTCCAGACGCTTGGATGGCTGCACGTCCAGCGATGCCATATGCCTCTCTGGGTTTTTGAATAAGTCTCTGGAGCTGTGCGAACACTCTCATGTTTCTCCTACGTACTTTTCACTGTGCTAGTGCTACAGATGGTGCCTGCTTAGCAGCACTGGCTATCAAGGCAACAGCATAGAGAGCACTGTAGTAAAAACGATGACATTGCCCTAGTTTTCTTTTTTTTTATAATGCAGACTCTTGTCTTGTAGCAGTGACAGCCTTAGGCTAAGCTTCTCAGACAAACATTTGTATGAGCTGTTTGCAGCAATACCTTGACCTTTATCTCACATGATTAAACTTAACTTTTGTGTGATTGCCTTGTATTTTTTCTTCTAAAGCTGCCTTTCTTTAAATCCTTGGTATCTTAAGACAAGTGACAATAAGACCAGCTCTATTTTTATCCTCAGGGTCTGTGTTAAAGTTATCTTTTTTCTCCCATGTATCAGTATTTGATGTAGAAGACAACACTAAGACCTAAAGCCCACAGCCGACCACTTCCCTACTCAACATTTGCATTGTGTTCCTCTGGCTGCTGCTTCTTGGTAGTCAGATTTACCCCTTTCCTCCTAGCTCTTCTCCCTATTTATAGTCTCCTGTGAGGAACTGAAAACAGGCTCTCAAAAACCTTGGATAAATTAAGCTTGCAGGCAATTCTGAATTCTCTGTTCTGGAATTTCAGGGTAAAATCTGATAAAGCGAAGGGGCAAGTGCCGATGTTTTCAGAAGCTACACGGATTGGTTTCATTATGTGCAGCTAAGCACTTGGGACGCCCCTTCTGTAATTACTGTCTGAGCTGATTTACTAATTATTTGTGTATGATAGGAAGCAGTCCTAGTCTATGAACTCTTGAACTGTTTCTGCACAGCATGCAGGAAGTTTTTTCATTTCTAAATAATACAATTTTATGTTATATACAAATATATATAAAATATATTTATAATTTTATATATAGTTTATGATATTAATTTAATAGAAACCTAGTGAGTATATCATGGGTGGTCTATAAAAATTAAAAGTCAGTTTCCTTTTCCAAAGACCACATGTGGTTGCTCGTTTTGAGCTTAGGTATCAGTAGAGACTAGTTTTGGCAGGAAACAAAAAGTTGTCCTCCTTTAGAGGTTCACTGTGTTTCTGACACGTTCTGGTGCTAGGTCGCTTGATGCGCTGTGTGCGGTGTCCAGTTGCGTACCACTCCAACGACTTCTGCCTCGCTGCTGGGTCTGTGGTCCTTGCCTCCAACAGCATCATCTGCCCCAATCACTTCACTGCACGGAGGGGCTGCCGCAACCACGAGCACGTCAACGTCAGCTGGTGCTTTGTCTGCTCAGAAGGTGAGACGGTCTGCGCTGGGTCCCCTGTCACCCAGGAATGACCTGACAAGGAGTTGTTAGAGCAGGCAGGAGCTTTACCCATCCAAAGTGTGCTAGTAAGAACTGCAGAGAACAGATTGCCTTCCTATCCCATCTCCATTTAAGACCAGTTTCAGGCTAGGACTTTTTCTGGATCTTCTGCAGCATGAGTAGGGCATAACTTTTGAAAAGGGTTTGTGAGAGCGTGTCGTGCCCTTTTCTCAGTGGTGTCTGTCTGGAAGTTTGGAGTCCAGGGCTTCTGCACAACGACTCTGATAAATGCCTCCTCCTTTTCTTTGCAGGGGGCAGCCTTTTATGCTGTGAGTCGTGCCCAGCTGCGTTTCACCGTGAGTGTCTAAACATTGAGATGCCAGAGGGAAGCTGGTATTGTAATGATTGCAAGGCAGGCAAAAAGCCACACTACAAGGAAGTAGTCTGGGTGAAAGTTGGGCGCTACAGGTAGGTGAAGGTAGAACAGACTTGTCCCCATCACTTCTTCATGCGCAGTGCTCATGGTGATTGAGGTGAGAAGCTGCTCCTCTCTGCAGGGTACAGTGCAGCAGCCTCTGGCTTTTTTGCATGCATGTAGCAGCTGGTAAAATGCGTGCTTTCCTCCTCCAGTGGCCTCTTGTCTCCCCACCAGCCTTGCTGGTAGCCCTCACACACTTTTGCCCATGTCCCCATGTAGTAGCATACTTCTGAGCTGGTTGGAAGTGGGGAAGCCAGGAGTTTCATCTGCCCTTCCCTGTCTTGCAGGTGGTGGCCAGCTGAGATTTGCCATCCTAGGACAATTCCTGTCAACATCCAGAAAATGAAACATGACATCGGTGAGTTCCCTGTGCTGTTCTTCGGCTCCAAGGATTACCTGTGGACCCACCAGGCCCGTGTGTTCCCTTACATGGAAGGTGATGTCAGCAGCAAAGACAAGATGGGGAAGGGCGTGGATGGCATATACAAGAAAGGTAACTTGTCTTCATCCAGGGAGGTACATGATCTTTCTCATTTCATTCCCATTTGGAGAAGTGGCATTCTTGTAACAGAGAAAAATGTCATCTTAGAGCTAAAGTGAAATTAAATTTGTCGAATGAGCTGCTGCTTATCTATCATCCAGCACACTCAGAATGTTCATTGGTCTGATGACTCCCAGAGAGGGAGAAGAGTGTGCAGATCTTGAATGTTTCTCCAGCTCTGACACAGCTGCTCGAAATCTGAGTGAACTGCGAATTTGTCATCTTCCCTGTGTCTAATACAGTCATTATCTGTGTATAAAAATGCAGCTGCGTGATACCTCTGCCCAAAAGCAGGCACAGCTAGCTGACAGTTTGGATGCTTCATCACCCATGGGCAGGTCCCCTACTGTAACTGCTGTGACTGCCCTTCTCTGCTGCATTGGCCTTTTTCTCACCCCCCCTCTGGTGAACCTCTGCCTCTGAAGTACGTGGTCAGGGAGGTTTGCTTGTGGATCTGTGAGCACTGGGTGGACACCAGCAGCCCAGCTCCATGTGAGTGGAGGATGTTCCTCCTAACATAGCCTGTTCTCTTGCTTAGCTCTCCAGGAAGCTGCAGTAAGATTTGAAGAGTTGAAGGCACAGAAAGAACTGAGACAGCTTCAAGAAGACAAAAAGAACGACAAGAAACCTCCTCCCTACAAACACATCAAGGTGAGGGCAAGTCAGAGGGACAGGTGCACAAGAGGAGTCTTGAGCTGTCAGTGCAGGTGACTTAGAGGTATACAGAAACATTTCTACTGTTTGGGCATCTGGCTGCATTTGAAGGTTACTTTGGTCCTCTTGGCATCTTCAGTCATCCTTTAGAGAAGGTATTCATATATGCACAGAGCTGTATGGACACAGGACACCAGTAATAGAGGTACTCTTGATTTACTGGAACAGATCTGGACATCTCTGTGCTGTTCGATGTCAGTTGTGTGATCTGAAGGAAGTGTGTCTCTACTGTGGGAGCTCAGGGGACACTGCTAGTAATATGCAATATGCTGAAGTACTGTGTGCTACTGATGGCAAGGTGGGGATCCCAGGTGGTGAAGGTAGGAGGAGGAGGAGATGGTCAGGATGCAGTGGAGCAGGGCAGTGTGGAGGATGGTAGCCCACTGTATCTTGTTTCATCTCTGCTACTGTTATATCTTGGTGTATCAGTTAGTGACTGATCAGGAATACTAAAGCAGATTTATATGCTAGAGTATCAGGCCTCTTGCTGAGGTTTGGGAAACTCTTCATGTTTAGGGCTGTATTTTGAGGTAGAATTGGAGCGACAGTAGAAGTCCTACAGGATTAAGGTGACTTGAGAGGAGACTTGGGGCATGTGGGTGCATATGCTTGAGATGTGGATCCAGACTGATCAAAAACCCAGTGACTTGGGGACTGTGTTCTTTCTTCATTGCCTGTCTGCTCCTTCCCTTTTTTATGAGGCAAATTATGAAAGCTTAACTGATTGCTGGTACTTTTTGTTTCTAGCTAGGATTTCTAGGCAGGCTGGTATATCCTGCAGGAGCTACTGTACTATGTAGAGAACATAATTGAATGCTGTGGCAGCACTGTGGGCCAGGCAGCTTCTGTGAAGGAAATAGTTTCTCACTGTAGATATTTTTAAGCCTATCTCTGGCCACAATATGAAGGAAATTTGGAAGCAGTTTGTAACCTTTGAAATACCCTTTTTATATAAATAGTAACGGTCATGGTCATTAGCCATGGCAGCTCTTCTGCGGTCTGAGTGCAAGCTGTTTGTCTCCTGCAAAGCAGTTTACAGGAGCATACAGTGAACTGGAGAAGGCTTCGGGGTGGAATGACTGAAGCTGGCTGTGTCCACTCCCGTCCTGGCCTTCTAAGGCAATTGGTGTCTCAGGGTCCATCCCAAGGAGTGCCAACAGGAGAGGCAGCTGCAAAATATACTTGGGATCCTTCATCATATCAGGGTTGTAGCTAGTCCAGGCATCATGCCCTGTTTCGGGGCTGGTTTTGTACCAGCAGTGCCTCAGAGAGTATGGCTGGCCTGCTGGGCGTGTGTATGTGCTGACAGGGGCACCACACTCAGACACCGTGGTCACTTGGGGTGTCTGCCCAGTGGTGGACAATCCTAATCCTGTGAGACTCGTCATTCTTAACGAGGTGATGAGCTAAAAGTTTGAGTAAGAGGTGGGAAGCAGCAGAGGAAAACACAAGAGTGGCAGGGAAAGCTGGAGGTGGGAGGCAAGTACTAGGAAGAAGGGGAGACTGTGTTGAAGAGATTATTCAGGGGTTTCTGCAGGGTTTGCTTTTAAACAGAGGAGGTAGATCAGGGCTAGGCCAGCCTCAGGCATGGAACCAGCATAGATACCTTGCTCAGTGGGTGGGACTACATAAATTGTGTGGAAGCTGGAATAGTTTTGCTAAATGATCCCCTCCTTTCATGTCGTGGGAGAGGAAAGGGAGCTGATGGTATTGGTCACCTGGGCAAAGAATAGCAAGGAGGTTTTCTTCAGTGTGTCTCTAAAAAGTCCCGACTCTCTGTTGCCTGCCTTTCAGCATTTACTGCCTTTAACCAAACCCAAAGGACCCTGCTCATGCCATAGACATGACAGTCGCTTCTCCACCTGGTGCTGTGCTCTGCCTCCTTCTGGAGTGGTTTTTAGAGAGCTCCTTGACTTAACTCTGAGCTCCTTTTTGGACCTTCTAACAGCAACCTTGTCTGGTTTTTATTTCATTTACATCTACAGGTCATTTGGATAGGGAGCTAACTGCTTGTGGCCTGGTGCATAGGTAGGCCCTCTGTACTCTCTCGCAGGCATGCTTGCCTGGTTCTCGTAGTGACAGCTGAGAGCACAAACCAGCTTGAAGGCAACACATTGAAAAAACGGGGCTGTAAGGGAAGGATAAGGAAAAAGACCTGATGCTCGGAAACTGGAAAAGGTGCTGTTTCACACAGAGAATAGTTTGGTGTCGGTCACAGGTATGGTGTGTACCCAGTGAGAGCGCTGGGCCACCTGGGCTGGATGTAGACACAGTGGTGATGGGAGGGGGACACTTGGCAACCCCTCTCCCCTCTGGGGTCACAGAATACACACTGCACAAGGTGACGCTAATGGGGGACCTGCATCCTCCTTAGCTCTGTCCGCTAACCGGGTGCCTCTTGAAATAGTGTGCCCAGCAGTACGTATGTGCCTCTACTTGTGTCCTTCTGCCTCTTGCTGTAACTAACTCGCACTACAGCCTGTCAGCTCCTAGGCAAGGGTTGAGTGTAGAAGTGACAAGCAGGATAACCTGTTGTTTCTTGAGAGCTAACATCCTTCATGTGCATTGAAGGTGAACCGGCCAGTGGGTAAGGTGCAGATCTTCACTGCAGACCTGTCCGAGATACCACGTTGCAACTGCAAACCAACAGATGAAAACCCATGTGGCCTGGACTCTGAATGCATCAATCGCATGTTGCTCTATGAATGCCACCCCATGGTCTGCCCTGCTGGGGAGCGCTGCCAGAACCAGTGCTTCTCCAAGCGGCAGTATCCCGAGGTACAAATCTTCCGCACGCTGGCACGAGGCTGGGGCTTGCAAGCCAAAACAGACATCAGAAAGGTACGTGCTCTGTTTCTGCATGTAATGTTCTTTTGCCACTTCTCTCTTGCTCAGTGTTAGTTTCAGTAGATTTGAAAAATTACGATCTTCCATAATTTGTAGAAGACTTCTTGCTGTAGAATGCCATTAGGAAAGAAATGTATGAATTTAATTTTTCCAGTCCTGACAAGAATGTTTTGGTTCAGCTAACCAAGAAAATGGTTTGCATGTTGATGTCCCACAGGGTAAGAAAGATGATTGCTCGATCTGTCTGCTTGTATGGACGATGGGCTTTGAGTACACCAGAACACTGGCCTGAAGACAGTGCTCAGGATATCCAGATGGGGAACAGTGATAATACCTCCCCCCATTCTTGAATAGCCAGGCTTTTCCAGCATGAGAATCTTGTGTCAGAAACCGAAACAAGGGCTTGGCTCTTACAAAAGGGTAATGTCTTGGAGATGGCTATTATTATTGCTGAAACTGGTATCTCCAGCTAAAACACTGGTGTATATATATTTTTTTAAATCCAGAGAATAGTTCTGTGGAACCACGTCTGTGCTAAATGAAGAAGGAAGAATGTTAAAACAAAGAGAACCCCAAAGCTAAAAAGGGTGAAGTGAAACTGAGGAGAATTAGCATAGTAGGAGAGGAATGTCTGGAAAAGGAGCAGGGACAGCATGCATGTGGGTTCTTGATAGCATAAGGAGAAATGTGAGTCTATCCTGTTCAGTCTTTGGTGCCTGCTGTGATACAGGTTAAGGTTCTCTGCTGTTCTGTGCACCTGTTATGTTTCCCTTTCAGCAGACAGCCTGGAAACATCAAAACTCAGTTGTTTAACAGAAGTACCTACTAACACCAGTGGAGCAGATCTGGGGTTCCCTCTGAGGGTTAAAGTATGGTCTCTGTGGTACTTCACTGCAGGGCAGCTCCATGGATTTACTGCAGGTGCCTTAGGTGCAGTATGCTGCTCAGTGTGGTTGGTGCCCAAAGGGATACTGTTTCCAGCTGGAATGCAGTTATGCAGTGCTTTGAGTTTTGCAGCAAAGAATTACTCTTGTGGTTAACTTTTTGCTGTCCCTGAATGTTAATTCACAAAGAATAATCTGATGACCACTGTTGCTTTATTTAATTTAGTTTGACTTACGTGTTGAGCATGTGAAACAGATGTGTGATTCTGAGTGAAGATTTTAAGTCAAACTGTCTGCAAAGCACAGAGGAAGATTTTAATTAAAAGGTTTCCACAAAGGAAACAGGAACTAAGTTATAGAACAGAGGTGGATGTCCCTCCATCCTGGTGGGAATTTGTCTCGTCTTACCAGCTTGTTTTCTCTCTGGCAGGGTGAATTTGTGAATGAGTATGTTGGGGAGCTAATTGATGAGGAGGAGTGCCGAGCCCGAATCCGCTATGCTCAGGAGCATGATATCACCAATTTCTACATGTTGACACTGGATAAGGTATGTGGAAGGAATTTTCTTGCCAGGATCGTAGTCAGGAGTAAAATGATTTCAAGGAAGGCTTGATAGTGGTCTTCTCCAGGAAGTAAAAGGGTGCTAAGAGCTGCTGGTGAGCTGGTCTGCATTTCCACTGAAGAGAAGACTAAAAGAATGGGCTTAACATGCAGTAGAGAAGCTTCAGGTTGGATATTAGGATTAGGAAGAAAGTCTGAACCAACTTCTTTGGAGTTTATTTAGAAGAGGTGAGCTGAACCATGGAGAGTCCAGAACTGGGCTGATGTGTGCCAGAGGAAGCATCGGCCCTCAGATGGACAAGTGTCAAGCACAGTGAGACCATCATTTAAGTTCAGACCCCAGGTCTTGCAGATTTCAGTAGGTGGGTGGAGTTTGTTGCACCCACAGACTCCTTGGTGGGTCCTGGAGGCCAGGTTGTTGGTGTGAACTCCTGGCTTTCCAAGGTGAATAGTTTTGTCAGCTGCTTTCCACTCTTTGTCACTCAACCTTGGAAAGATTAGAGGGAAACCATGAAAGCAAGCATAGGAAGAAGCTGTCTAGTGTGGGACAGGATAACAATGCGACTGCTTTCTGGCTCTCCCCTCTTCTTGCTGGAAATTCACACTGAGCCTATCTTGTTCTTCTTGTCTGGCTGATGGGTGGGAGCAGAAACAAAACCAAGTGTTAATATCTCCCTCATTATTACAAAACCAAATTTCAATTGCAGCTGCCCTCTCCTCTCTGACACAGTCTAACAAATGATAGTGTACTGTATAGAAGTGTACCTCACGCATTACATACCGTTCCTCTTTTCCTTCTGTACACTGATGGACAAAACATAGGAACTGGTATTTTGCTTTTAAGCAGAAGTTGGAGCCTGAAACTGCAAGTGCTGTCTTGAAAGTGTGCTGGTGTAGTGTTTATCCAGTACTGACACTGCAGAGAGCTGACTTCCCAGAAAGCAGCAGTATCAATTTCCTGACTGTTCAGGAGCCTGTGTGTCTGAAGAGGAAGATGATGTCGTGCAGGAGGCTGTATTGCTATGTGATCTGCCAGCCCTGGCCAGAGACACTGGTGTGTGGAAACTGGTTGGGTGTCTGTCAGTTGTCCAGGCAGCACTGATCACTTAACCTTGGTTAAAACACATGTGCAAACTTAGGTGCTTTGCAAGTGTCATCAGATGCCACCGTTGTCATACTTTTCACTACTGATTAATGCCTTCTGGGTATGGTGGTAGCTGTGCTGCAGTGGGTTGAGCAGGAAATAAGTTTATGAAAAGTGTTTTTCTGTTTTTCTGTTTTTTGATTTTGTTTTGTTTTTGGTTTGGTTTGGGTTTGTTTTGTTTTTTTTTTTTTTTTTTTTTTTGCAATTCCAGGATCGAATCATTGATGCTGGGCCAAAGGGCAATTACGCTCGGTTCATGAACCATTGCTGCCAGCCAAACTGTGAGACTCAGAAATGGTGTGTGAACGGTGATACTCGGGTTGGGCTCTTCGCAATTGTAAATATCAAAGCTGGTAAGGAACCCCTCTCTGTCAGTACCCGCAGTTAAAAGCGTGGGAGTGTTTCTGTAAGGAAAGTGGAGGGTTTGTAGCTCCCTGGGAAGGTATTTAAGGTATTTAATTTTTGTTTTCGCATAGGCAGTCAAGAGACTTAATGCCAGCACGGACATAATGGAACACATACATCCATGATATAAATAGAGGTTCATAGTTCTAATTTACAGGGTCAAGAAATTGAACTAAGCACGCTACAGCGTGGGTTTGAACGTTCTTTGTGGCTGTAGTGTGGGGTTGCACTGAATTTTCAATCCACACAGATCTATGGGGAGATTAATAGCTGGTATCCTTGTGTAGTTGTGACAGTAATTTGTGTCATTGTATTTCAAAAGTGCTTTTACTTCAGCAGTAAGATGTTCTGCTCCACAGTTCATTACAACTTGCTTGGTTTTGATCTGCTTTTGTGCCAGGGACTGAGCTGACTTTCAACTACAATCTGGAGTGTTTAGGAAACGGAAAGACCGTTTGTAAGTGTGGTGCCCCAAATTGCAGTGGCTTCCTAGGTGTACGGCCAAAGGTATGATGCTTCCTTTAAGCTATTGTTCTTCCAAAGTACCTCTTTGCGTATATGTGTATCATTTGTTGCAGAGATTTCAGGAAGGATAATCTGGTTTCAGTGTGGCCATGAAAACACCGATTGAAATGAGTTAAATATCCACGTTTTCATTCTGAGAGGGCAGATCTTAGACCTGAATTATTAGGGGTGCTATAAATAATTACAGCAAATTGTACCTTACAACAAAAGAGAAAATGAAATATTACATCTATGTCTCAGCTGTTGGTTTGTTTCAAGAGCTTCACCAAACTGGTCTGTGATCCCTCTGCTCTGGCATGTGGGTACTGGCAGTTTACTTACCTACAGTTAAGGGTTAAGAGGTCCAGTAGCACGGTTGTTAAGTCCCATCAATATATAGGGAAGGTTTTGTGAATTCTTGAGAGCTTAGTTCTGCAGAAAAAATTAACTTACGATAAAAAAAATATGGATGTCTTCAAAAGTTGACAGATGAGGGAAATTACACATCTGATGTATTTAGTTCTTTTCTGGGTTGCAATTTAAAGTTCAATTGATTTTGTGCTGCTTCTGTGTTATACATGGCTTGTCTGTCATTTTTGCCCTGAAATTGCAGGTTGCATGATGGAAATAAGAGGAAGATGCCCTTTAGTTGGCATTAATGTTCCATTGTGATGCCTGAGGCAGCTGATTCCATCTTGATGAGATGGACTAAGAAACAATACCCAAGAAAACAGTACCTGATGTTGGTGGTTTTTGTTTGTTTTTTTGTTTTGGTTTTTTAAAAAAAAAAAACAAAACAAACAAAAAAAAAACCACAAACTTACCCCACAATAAATGCATTTTCAAGCTTCCTGAATGTACAGCAAGACAAAACTGCTGATTATACCTGAGTTCAGTCTTTAAAGTGACCTTTCTAACTGGGAGTGTGGAAGAGTCTCTTGTACTGCTGTGAGCAAGTGGGAAACACTTAGTCCAGCTGTTAGACCTTGCTTAGACATTCAAATTAGCTGTGAAAGGTTTTCCTTGTTCTCTTTGTGATTAGCTGGCCGATGTACTAAGCACTGAGAATAGGTGAAATAGTTTAGGTAGAGTGATTTCACTGCCTGCATTTTCAATTATAAGAAAGGCTTGACTTGTCCCCATTGTCCATGGGAATGATTGTATGAACACAAAAATACCCACGTGTGAAGGGAAAGGAAACAATCAAGATATGTAACTCCCTGGTGGCAGGACAGCTGGATAACCACCGCTGCTGAATTTTGAAATTGTAGGGCTGGAGGCAAAGGTTTTAAAATATTTTGGTGTTCTTGTTTTTAATCTTGATAGAGGAGAGTCATGAAAATAGTGCCCAATATTAATGCAGCATAAAGGATGTAAAAATCCCTCTCAGGCATTGTCTGAGCACACAGAGATGTTCTGCATGGAAAACACATATTTGGACCTGAAGATATGTGGAAAATGGCATAAAATTTAGCTCATGACTGTTTAAATAAATTTGTGGAGTTGAGCGTTTGGTACAGTGGGAAGAATAGCCTGGAGAGAATCCGTTCTGGGGGGTTAGGAGTGGTGTGAGCACCTAGCCTGAAGAAGGGGGCAGTGCTGGAGGAAGCCTGAGGCCAGAGAAGAGAGCACATAAGCTATTTAGATGCCAGTCTTGGGACCAGCTGTGGTTATTTCATTACTGCCTGTAACACAGCTGTTGGAGGTGTGGTAATTTAACTGTACTGATGACACAAATATGTCAGGTGTTACCGGTGTGGGAGAGGATGGGGCAGTTGCAAAGGAATAACTGTATATTACTAGGAATGGGCTGGAGTTCAGAGATTCAGTATGCCAAAGGATACACCTGGAGGGTAATAGCAGAAACAAATCTGCCATGAGAAGGTCATGCTGATGCAGGACTGAGCTGCTGTTGGGACGCAGCTGTGAGAAAGACAAATGCAGGCAGGGCTTTTGGAGGGATTTCTGATTTTGGAGAAGTGTTGATGTCATACATGGCCTGTGAGGTGTCATTTGAAGTAGTACGTATGATTTTGTAATTTGTGTTTGGGAGAAATAAACTCAGTAGGGGTAGAGAAAAGCCATTAGGAAGACTGAAGGTGCGGACTGTGAAAGAGTTTGTTTTGTGAGAAGGGGAGAGTGTGTCCTGGTGATTAATTCAGGGAGAGAGAAAAACTTCTGCCAGAAAAGAGCAGTATTGACATGAGAACAAACAGGTCTGAACTGATCACAGATAAATTCAGACTGAAAATGGAGAGAGGAGTGAGAAACGTCAGAAAGTGCAGGAAGGCCTGGGAGAGACTCGTTATGGGTGCAGGGAGATGCAACTGCTTTGATTGAGGTCTTGAAGAGTCTATGAGAGGTGGCATGAGCTCAGTGACACCAAGCAGCCCCTGCTTCCTCATTCTGCTGTTGCTAATTGTATACAACCCATGTTTACAGGGAAGCCATGTGCAGGGCTTCCAGGCTCTTTCAGGAAGAAGAAAAAAAAAAAAAAAAAAAGAGAACTATTTGCTGTAGTGAATTGGTTGCCAAATATTAAGAAGTGCTGTAGAGATGCTACATGTGTTTCAGGTATGGCTGGCAGTGGGATTTTTATTTGCAGGGTTTGCAGTTATCTCCACTGTAGCAGGAAGGGAACAGATGGAAGCGGCAGAGACCTGCATTAACTGATACTGTCTCACCTGCAGAGCCAACCCAGCCTCAGTGAGGAAAAGTCCAAGAAGCTAAAGAGACGGCCGCAGATGAAGCGCAGGTCGCAGGCAGAGGTGATGAAGGAGCGAGAGGACGAGTGTTTCAGCTGTGGGGACGGAGGGCAGCTGGTGTCTTGTAAGAAGCCAGGCTGCCCCAAGGTGTACCACGCAGACTGCCTCAACCTGACCAAGAGACCTGCAGGTCAGTGCTCTGAATGGCTGGGCTCTGCTTGGGTCACAGCATTGGCTTGAGGTGTCCCAGGCACTGCTTACAACCTTGCACTCACTTCACAGCTTATTAAAATTAGAGAGATCTTGCTCACTTGAACAGACTTTGTGGCCCACACGACACAACCCTGGTTTGCACCCCACTGTGACTGCAGAAAAATGACTTGATTGCTGAAGAGACAGTTTTTCCTTGCCTAAGAGATGGTACTTGTGAGCTGACCCCATCACTGGGGCCTGGCAGAGGACAGTCCCAACAATAGTTGAGAAATTGGTTTCTCAGATTGGCCATTTTCCCAAAGTTGAAGACAATTGAGTGAATTGAATGGTGCGGAGAAGCACTGATGGAAAATGTGTTTGAGAAGAATGTGTTAGATGTCTGAATAGCCATAAGTTCATACTTAAGGAAGAGAACAGTATCAAAGCATGTCCTAGTTTGTGGTGAAATGAAGGTAGACATTTGAAATAAAAAGTATTCAAAAAGTGTATCGAGTTGTATGCAGAGAAAGAAATAGGCTCCCTGCATGAGTGATAAAACAGTTTCCAGTTCATTAGTAGCTCAAGAGGTGCAGAGTAACATCTACTGGAGGAAAAGATTTAAGTTGCATTTAAAAGTCTTAAAGGAGCTGGTTGAGCTGAATGTGTCCTTTGTCGTTTCAGTTTGTCTTGATTACTAAAGGAGTTCCTGTGACCTTTAATGAGTGTTCCGGTTTAACTGGTGCTCAGAAAGGGGAAAAAGTCTGACCTGAGTCTTGGTAGGCCAATTACCTTGATTTCTACTGGGCCAGGAGGATGGAAAAGCTGATACAAGATCAAGTGCCAAATAATTAAATAGTAAGAATATCAGCAATACTAAATGACAAGTTTTTAGGTAGAATAACTCATCAAACCTAATTTAGTGTTTTTGGCTAAGATGATAAATTTGGTTAATAAACGCAACTGCATTGAAGTAATTTGTTTAGGGGGCTGTAAATCTTTTGATTTAATACTGTAAGCATTGTCATAATTAGTAAATCTCTATGCAAGTCTGTACAGTGTTTCCTGAGCACATGGGAGGCAGGCTGAGAAACACGAAACCAAGTGGTCTCTGAAAGTAACCGCCAGGAGACTCACTGTGACAGAGTGTTTCTGTCAGCTCACTGTGCAGAGCCAGACCTGGGCGTTCAGCACCTCTAGCTGTAATTTGGCAGAAGCTGTAGAAGGGCTAGTAGCATACTTTGTAGACGACAGAAATTATGTGTGTGCATGTGTGAAGCTTTGGGGAGAGTAGGGCATTTATACAGAAGAGCTTGGATTGCTTGTTGAACAAATGCTGTAACAGAGCAATGTGAAAGCCAACAGGATTCCTATGGAACATCATTCAGGGAGAGGGAGTCCTGAGTATCACCTTTCTATCCAGTTTTTCGAGCTAAGATAGGGCACTGTAACATCCTGGCAGGTTTTCCCATGCTTTGAAGTCTCCAATAAAGGAGAATCCAGCCTTTAGCTTGTTCCCCTGCTTTCCATTTGAAAAGTTTCTCCTAACAGCCTGACTTCAAAAAACAAAGGATTGTCATCTCTCTGACATCCATTTTTTTACATACTGAGAGACTGTTGTCTCCTTAGTCCTTTTCTGGCTGAAACAAACAGAGCCTCTCCTTGCAGCTCTTATTTTCTAAAATTATTCTTTGTCTGCTCTGGTCTGTGTCTCACTTGCCTTCACATTTTTAAAACTGGTAACAAGTATTTTAACAGTATTGCAGCTGAGGCCTTGCTAACGCCAACAAAAGAGAATAATTATATTTTGTGTTTTACATAAAATATCTCAGGAAATGAGATTTGACTTGTTTTGCAAAAATAACTTGTATATTTATGTCTCATTTGTGATTTGCCCTATCATTCTTGAGTCCTTGTCTTGATCCTTTTCACGTACTTATTTTATTTCTTCCTCCTGCAATCCCGCTTTGCACTGGTCTTTATTTAATTGCGTCTTGTTGATGCAAGAGCATCTGTCCAGTTTAAATTTTGAGCCTGTCTAACTCAATTTTTGTAGTCTTTCACAGCCTTGTTATCTACGCATTTCTGTAAGAGTATTTGCTGTTCTGTTTCCAGAAATGTAAATGAAAATACAGACTAAAATAGACTCCTGAAGAATGTAATTGGAAATGCCTCCTCAGTTTGCCAGAAGACCATTAATAGCTGGTTTTTGAGAATGATTTTCAGTCCGTTGTAGCCATTTTATTCTTTTTACACATAGGCTGCTGTTTTCATAGCCCACTCCTTAGAGTATCATGCAGGACATGAAAGGTTCAGCACTTTTTACATCAGATGTTTCCTCTGCCATTGGCATTGCTGTCAAGTAATTGGAATTTCCTGCTTGTTTGCATGTTACTAGTTGTGTGATCTTACTTCCAAGAGCTCTAGGCTGTCTCTGGAGAGGCTGCTTATTCATTAGGCCTTTTATCCTGCCAAAGACCATTAGAGCAGTTTGATAGGACTTACCCATCCTGTAACATACTGGCAGGTTTTGACATATTTTATTTTCCATCCATACAAATGATCTCTATAATAATAGTCCCAGAGTTTTCCAGTGGCCAGAGTAAGTGTTGAACATGGCTCTTCACATTGCTGATAGTGTGGAGGGAGCAGCAACAGCGTGTGGGAAATGGAATTGGAAAATGGGGTGTTGGAGGAGCATGGACGCAGGAGGCGTATTTGGAAAGGCAGCTGTGCTTTTCCTACAGTGAGAGGTCAGGAACTCAGCTTCATGTATCCAGGGTGCACATGGCCTCACTGTTCCTTGGGTCCATGAACTGGTAAGAAATGTTTGGTAGTAACAGCGGAAGCCGTGGCTGGGGGAACAGGCAGCTGAACCAGTTATGTCATCCACAAGTGAAAAATGCAGTGATCTCTGTAGTGTAATGTTGGTTTTTTTTCCTCTGTGATGGTGTTGATACTGATTGTGACTAGATTCAGCATGGACATGGAGCTCCTCAGGGAGCAGCTTGGCTTTGTGTTAAGCAGTATTTTTATTGCTGCCATACACAGAGGTTAAGGAAAATGCCTTTGGGTGTAGAGACGATAGAAACTTACTCTCTTGTGATCACTACCCTTTCACTTCTTCTTTCTGATAAACAGGAAGTGAGGTTGTTGACCCAGAATTAACAAAGACTTAGATGAACCTGGTGCATCTACTTAAAAAGTCCATTGGGTATATTATACACAGATAACCACTGTTGTTGTCTCTGGAAATCAGAGGCACAGAGATGTGCGAGCTGGGGGTGTCTGCTCTTCTCTAGGCACCTGTATTGGTTAGTGCCATGCTGGAGCCAGATAGGCTTTTGGTCTGACTGGTGTGACTTGTGTTTGTCATGGTTATCATTGCCCTTGTTGCTTCTGAGGATGCAGGTTCCTGTTAACTGCCCATTGAGCCTGGGAGCTATGGCAGAAACTAGGGACATGTAGAATTGTATGGGAGTACTGCAAGGGTGTTCCCACTCTCCCTTGAACGCCCTTTGAAGCGGGCCTGGTTTCTTCTCCTTGTACTACTCCTAAGGTATGTCTTTTCTCCTGTGTCTGTGCTGCAGGAAAATGGGAGTGCCCGTGGCATCAGTGTGATATGTGTGGTAAGGAAGCAGCTTCTTTCTGCGAGATGTGCCCCAGGTCCTTCTGCAAGCAGCACCGGGAAGGCATGCTCTTCATCTCCAAGCTGGATGGACGTTTATGCTGCACAGAGCATGATCCCTGTGGGCCTAACCCTCTAGAGCCGGGAGAAATCCGTGAGTATGTGCCTCCCATAGGAGCCCTGGCTAACGGCGAGGACACCCAGCCACCAGAGCAGCCTCCTGCAGACACAGACCTGAGCGTTCAGCCTCTGGACAGCCTACCTCAGTCTGTGGCCCTCAGACTTCAGTCACCAGAAAAGCCCCCTGCTACCCTAGCGCTGAGGCTGCCGCCCTCAGAGAAGCCCGCAACCACCGTAGCCCTGAGGTTGCAGCCGTCAAACAAGCCCCCCACCACCCTGGCCCTCAGGCTGCCTCCACCAGACAAACCACCCGCCACCCTGGCGCTGAGACTGCCACCATCAAATAAACCCCCCACCACCTTGTCACTGAGGCTGAAGCCATCCAACAAACCCCCCACCACCCTCTCGCTCCGGCTGCAGCCTTCTGACAAACCCCCCACCACCCTCTCGCTCCGCCTGCAGCCGTCGGACAGGCCCCAGGCTGCCCTGTCCCTAAGGCTGCAGTCAGAGAAGCAACCCATCATCGTAGCGCTGAGGCCTCAGCAGCCTGACAAACCTCCCACCAACGCGGTGCTGTGGCCACTGGATGAGTCCTCCAGTGACGCCTCACAGCCTCATCTGCCGAGCAAATCTCCTCCGGGAACTCCACACTCGTCAGACGAGTCTCTCGTTACTGCTGGTGCCCTGCAGCTCCAGCTGTCGGACGAGCCTCCTGCCACCCCCGGGGTTTTGGGGTTATCGGACAAATCTCTCATTGACACCAGGACCCAGCAGCCTGAGCTGCTGGATGAGTTCCCAACGAAATGCCTGCATCCCCAACTTTCGGACAGACTTCTTGCCGCAGCAGGGACCCTTCAGTCCCAGCCGGTGGATGAGCCTCCTGCGGCCGATCAGACTCAGCCGTTGGACAAAGCTTCTGCCCAGAGTCCGCAGCTTCAGTCTGTGGAAAAGGCTTCTGGCTCCACGGTGCCACAGGTCCCAGCATCGGAGGTGGCTCCCAGTCCTGGGGTGCTGTGGCCTCTGCCCATTGAAAAAGTCCCCAGCTCCCTGGTCTCACGGATCCTGCCTATAGAGAAGGCTCCTGGATCAGCTGTGTCACGACCCCCACCTCCAGAGAAGGCTTCCTTCTCTGGGGCAGTGCGGGTCCCAGGCACGGAGAATGCTCCCAGCTCTGGGGTGCCTCGTCCCCTGCATCTGGAGAAGGCTTCTGCCTCGGGGATGCCACGGATCCTGCCCACAGAGAAGGCGCCCAGCTTAGGGGTGCCACGGCCCCTGCCTCCAGAGAAGGCTCCTGGCTCCCGGTCACCGCACGTCCTGCCCATGGAGAAGGCTCTTGGCTCGGGGGCCCTGCGGATTCCACTCACGCAGAAGGTGCTCGCCCCCGGGGTGCTGCGGCCCCTGCCTCCAGAGAAAGCTTCCGACTCCGGGTCCCTGCGGGTCCTGCCTCCGGAGAAGGCTCTTGGCTCTGGGGTGGCTCGGCCTCAGCTCTTGGAGAGGCCTCTCACTCTTACAGCCCCGTGGCCTCAGGCATCGGACAAGCTGGCTGCCGCCGTGGCTCCTCGGCCTCAAGTCTTTGACAAGCCTCCAGCCGTGTCAGCTCCGAGGCTGTTGCTGTCGGAGAAGGCGCTGCGGCCCGTCGACCAGAACGCGCAGCCAAAGGAGAGAGGAGCCCCAGCCACGGAGCTGAGTCCCCAGCAGAAAGAGAGGACCATGTTAGCTGGTGAGCAAATCTCTTGGTCTGCTGGGAAAGCAGTGACGCATGTCGGACAGGTACCTTGGCCTACGGAGAAACTACAGACACACGAGCAAACCCACTGGCCCACCACGAAAGTCCTGACGCTTGCAGAGCAGCCTCCCCGGACAGCAGAGAAGCTACCAGAGCCAACCCTTCAGCCTGGCTGGGAAGTGGCCTCAGCTCCCGCAGAGCAAACCCCTTGGACATCAGAGAGATTGTGTGCATTTGAGCAGACCCCTCGGCCAGCCAGGGAAGCGCCGGTGCCCCCAGAGCAGATGCAGTGGCTTGTCACGAACATTCAGACAATTGACCAGATTTCTTGGCTGAGTGGAAAAGCACAGACTCCTCGGGGGCAGGACCCTTTGCCTGAACAAAACACAGCGCTAGCCCGTAACCAGGATTCTGTCTGTCGTGAGTTGGCCGACTCAGAGCCAAAGTGAGGTTGGTGAATATGGGAGGCAGGTTTCAGTCTTTTAATGTTTAGGGAGGGGGAATCTTTGTTTTGTTTTTTTTATTCACTTCCCTGAGCCCAGCCCCTAACCCATGCACATCTTATCCATATTCTCGTGACATGAGCAAGGACATTCACTTAAGTCTGAGTGTGGCCCAGCTGAAGGGAGAGAGCATCTGTGACCTTTTCCTCTTCCTTTTACAAATGGTAAAGCTGAAATAAAGAGTCCACTCTGGGTAAAAATCTCCAATTCCATTGAAATGGTCACATTACTTGATCCAGCGTGTTCGAGCTCCAGGTCTGATTCGTAGGCGGGTTCCCAGGTACAGCTAGGGGCTTTGCTCTTGTTACTGTATTTAGAGGAAGCAGATCAGTCAGGCTGCCCTGGGACTGGAGGTGTTTCAGGGATCAGGCGGTGAGCAGTCGGGTGTACGCCCTTGCCGGACTCTGTGGAAGCAGGGAAGGGATTTATCTGTCATCTGCCCAGGTCTCTGTCCCTGCAGGGTGTTGCTTTGCGAGGTTTGTCTGTATGTTCACTGGGATGTGCTGCGTGTGTGGTTCACTGAAGGACAGGTATTGTCTCCAGCTGAGCTGGGAGAGGAGCCCGCTGCACTCGCTCGGTGCAGTTTCCTCCAGCAATAGGCAATATCCATTCAGGCTCCTTTATACAAAGCTGCAACTGGCCAGGTCCGTTAAATGGGAAATCTGAAGGAGGTCAGGGAAAAGAGAGATCTTGGAAGAAGCCATCTGGCAATTTTTCCATTCTTGTGTCTTAATCCTCTAGCACAGGACACATGGAGTGTTTCCTGCACTTGAAAACTTTATGACCTATAAAGCAGCAATAGCAGAGTAGGGCAGAGTGGGTTTTCCCCAAGGTGCTGAGCGCCACCCTGTCAGGGTGGTGGTGCTCCCTCTCAATTTTCCATCCAGTTTCTTCTTGACTTCTGTCGTCACCATGAGCCAGCAGACTGAGCAATCTTTTCTCCCCTTGCCTCAGACGTGTCCAGGACATGTTTGCATCATACCTGCTCTTTCCAGCAGCAGGACACACTGTCGAGCTGCAAGCGAAGCCTGTACCATTGGCTACACGGTGCAGAGGCAAGGGTGCTGTAGCTGTTACCAGGACCCATCTCGACACCTTCCCCTTGGGTAGCTTCTGGCTTAACTCTTCTACAACCAAAGGAGACTTGAATTAACTGGACTGTGTTGGTGTGCATGTGTGTGTGCGCGCGCGTGTGTGTCCTTCCAACTGAATAGTAGTTCTCACACTGGAACACGGTGGGCTCCAGCAGCTGGCTGGCTTTCTTTTTTCCTCTTCTCCCTTTTCCAGTTAAGGAGATGTGTAGTACCTGGTGGTTATCAGGCTGGTGTCCAGACTAGGCCTGCTGAAAGCCGTTTTCTCAAACGTTGAGGCATAAGTTCACTTGGCTGTGGTACTCATGGGGCAAGTGGTAGAGGCCCAGGGACCAGCAGAGTGGCATCTTGCGACCACCGGCACCGTCGAGGCAGGAGGAGGACGGGCCTCCCTGGGTGGCACTGCTCGGGCTGGATGGGGTCGGAATCCTGCCGAGGAGGCACTGCTGACCAGCACACTCTCCCACTCTCACAACACATTACCTCTGTGGTTTGCCTGAGCTCCGCCGCTCTGGGTGCCGCAGCCGTGGATCTCCGTGCCCTCCCCCAGACCCTTGCGCAGCTCCAGTGTGTCCTTCTCCTTCCAGGCAGATCCGCAGTCCCTCCCTGGAGAGGGAGTGTTCTGCTCCAGGCTGACCCTCTCCCTCCAGTGTAGGAGCAGGTCCTTGTTCCCGCCTGGCTTGCAAGTGCCTGCTGCTCCCAGAGCAGACGGTCATGAGTTTTGCATTTTTCTATGAAGGGAGGCAGACACTTGTACTGAGACAAATCCCGACCCATTCTCCTTTCCTGAGGTATGCACCCCAAGACAACGTCCTGCTGTAAAGGCCGGGTGTGCTGGGCACGAGGGGACATTACCAGTGCTATGGTGTATCTCTTCTCTAGTCCGAATCATTTCAGATCCTTTGTAGAATAGCTAGCAACTTTGAAAAGCTTTATGGCTTACGGAAACTTACTGTTTAATGTTGTTTTTTTCCGGGAAGACTGGCAGGTCAGTTCCTGCTTGCTGCTGAAACTGGGGAAATGCAAGCAGCTTGTGTTTCTGCGTGACTCCTGCACAAAGGGAATCAGGACAACTCCTCAGAGCCATTGAGAGAGAAGATAAATCTAAGGGCATTCATTAACTTTTTAAAACAAAATGAAAAAAAAAAAGTATGGTAATGACATTCAGTATATTAAGTATTTATCATGTGTGAGAAGGAAAATAAATCTTGAATTTACATTTATAGGCCTTCCCATGAGCTGGACTTAGTCATGTAGATTGTGTAAGTAGGGTTACCTCCGTGCCAGCCACCCAGCCAGCTACAGCTGTAACCGGAAAGGTATCTGCACTGCTCTGTCCACCTCCGCTTCGCATTGTCACGTGTTAACTAGTTACTTGTTTCATGAAAAATAAACTGTGAATATTTTTGGTGCAGGCTTTTTTAAATCTGTAAAATGGAGAAGTTCTCAACGAATTCTCATAAGTGCAGGTTTGAAAAAAATCACTTTATAATCGTGTGTTCACGTAGTAGGGTGAGGTTCATGGCAGCAGCAGCCTTCCACGCAGCAGGCTTTTACCCAAAAGCTTGTTTTGAACAGTGAAGGTGGATTGAACCGTTGCGTGGCATTTCAGACCCACGGCCTTATTCCTTGCATCTGACTGTACCCCACCTCTCTTCTTGTCTCCGTTCATGCCTTTTCCATGAGGATACAGGTTTCTAGCTTGCTACCTTCCAGCTACTGTTGGAAAGTTGACTTCAGTGTAGCTGGGAGGCTGCTTGGTGAAATTGGCATTTGGAAACCATTGAAGGAGGAAGCTAGCAAGCTGCTCTTCCCTCCTTGTACTTGCTGGGCCCCTGGGCCCTGCTCTGTCGGATCAGGAGGGCTTTTCTGGACGTACACAGGGCTTGCAGAGGTAGTAGTGGTGCTGTTAGAGATGGTTGTCTGTGTTGGGTCACGTCAGCAATACAGGCAAGGCCTGACCAGGCATGGAGATAGGTCCTGGCAGCCCAGCCCTGCCCAGCCTGCCTTCATTGGCAGGGAGCATGAGCATGGGCTGAGAAACAGATCCAGGCAACACAACCCTCATGAAGGAAATACGGGCTTCTTCAGCACTTGAGTTGACTCTCTGTCCTGGCTTTGAGTGTGGAGTGGGGTTTGTGGGCATCAGGGGAGGGGGCTACAGTGTTGGCCCCTGTGGGACTGTGGGCAGCAGCTGATAGCACTGCCTTGGAGGAGGAGAGGGAAGTGTCTGTACTGAAGCATCTGGGTTCATTTTCTGCAGTTCATTACTGCCTTCAGAGTTCAACCAGTTTGAATCACTGGGGTTTTTTAAGTTGGAGGAAAGCAGCAGATAACACATAGCCCTGACAGACTGCTTCTGCAGAAGAGAGACTGCTGCAGCTCTGTTCTAGCCTCCCCGAGCCCCTGCACTGGGCTCAGCCAGCTTTGCTGCAGCTCTGTGGCCAAGGCCATGGTGCTTTTTTGCTGGGTTGGAGGGATCCAGTCACCTGGCCGCTGACAGTCTCAGATCAGCCATAATTGCACCCACGGTGCGTGAGAAGTTGACTCTGCTGTTGATTCACTGTTGTGGTCAATTGTAGAAGGAGAACCGAGGGTGTAATTATTTTTGCTCAGAGCTGTGTCCCTTTCCCTGCTGTCTCAGGGAGGCTCTCGGGAACTTCCCCGGTTCACACGCCTATTCCTGCTTGTAGGAATGGCTCTCCCTTTTCAGTTTTGGAGGGGATGAAGGATTTGATCCCATACAAATGCTTGGCTGGTCAGCATCCTAGCTGTCGGGGTAGCCTGGCTGCCCCTTGCTCAGAGCAGTGGGCTGAGGGTCACTGGCTGTGGCCTCCATCCCACAGCAGGACCCACTTCAGTGATGGGTTTCCACAGTGGGCAGGAAAGTCCCAGTTGACTTTTGGTGATGGAGGAGCACTGGTGAGGACTGGTGGCGTGGTCAGGGACTCTTGTGGGCATGAGCTGCCTGCCCAGGCACAGGAGGAGGGTTGCGGAAGAGGAGCCGCTGCAGGGCCTGTGGGACATGAGGGCAGGAGGGGGGAGTGGGCACAGGCCACCATCCTGCGTGGCTTGTCCCATCTGCACCAGCTCGCTGGGCTGGTGCCTGCTGTCAACCAGGACTCTGGTGAATTTAGCAGAGCGGCCACTGTAAGGGATAATCCCCTACTGCACGTCTTCAGATACTAACTAGCTCATGGTAGCTTGCTTTATTGCTATTCTCAAGTTAAAACTTTTCCTATTTAACAAAAAAAACCACAAGAACCAGATTCACTTCAATGCACAACGTATCCAGGTGGTACTGTGGGAGCATGCATTATAATTGAGGGTTAAACTCCCCACAGGCACAGGCTTCGCTTTGAAGGTGTGACTGTTATTAAAACTGAAGAGGTGAGATGGTTGAATCTAAAGGACAGTAACATGCTAAGGTGAGACGATGTGGATCGAGGGTGCTAGAAGAGCTTCAGCTCAGTTTTACGGGGGGGAAAAAAAAAAAAAAAAGAAAGAAAAAGCAGCCCTAACCCAGATGCGTCTCGGCAGCAGTTTAACCTGAGCACACTGTGGATGTGCGCTGCTCCTACCTGGATGCCACAGCCAACGTTGTGACAGAGCAGGAGGAGTTTGTTTGAGAAACCTCAGACCTTCAACACTTTCCAGTTATTTTTAATTTCAGCCTTAATTTCTGATTTTGCTTGATGTTTGGAATAACCGTAATTGTAACCTGCTTGTAATGTGCTTTGCCCTAAATTACTGATGAGGCTTCCAGCCTTTGCCAGCCAGTGAGTGTTAAAGCAAAGTGGCAAACCACGCAGCTACTCTGAAAGTACAAAGGGGGCCGGTGAGGGCTTGTGCTGTGTTTGATTGCCCGGGCTTTGACCACGCTAATTACTCCCCTGTGATAGTGATAACGCGGTGGCAGCATTTGCACCGAGGCTCTTGCAGCAGCGCGGCCGGGCTGATGGGTGCTCGGGGCTCCCAGGGCCTGCGAGATGGGATGCTGAAGCTTGGGGACCTCTCCGCTGCTTGCCTGGCTTCAGCAGGAGTCTTGCCTGAGGGGTGGCAGTGCCCCCACTTAGCAGGGGGTGGGAAAAGGCAAGATTTCTGCTCCGGGTCCTCCAAAAAGCCGTCTAAGCAAAGTCCAGTGCAGGGGGACAGCATGTGTCAGCTTGGGCTGGAGAAGTGGCGGTGATGGACAGTCCCTACAGCACTGAATCTACCTCCTAGGGAAATCTGAGAAATGGGTGTTGCTATGTCCTATTTCAAGGTAAAGTTTTAATCAGTTTGCCCTTGGTGAAGAACTTGGGCTATTGTGGTGCTATTGTAAACCGTTCGGCAGCTTAGCACAGTAGGGCTGAACTCACGGCTCCTAGCCCGCGGGCTGGAGGTTTCTTCGCCAGCTGAATCCCATCCCCCAGTAGCTGGGGCTGGGCTTTGGCACGTGTGATGGAAACAGGATGAGGCGTGACTCGGTTCCTTCGATTTATGATGGCTTCGAGACTCAAACCAGTGTGCCAGTGGGCCCCGTGGGCGTAGGGAGCGAGTGGAGCCACGTGAAGCAAGGCAGGCGTCCGCTAACTGCATGTTCTTTGTGTCCGTTTGGTACTGAGCTGGTTTCAGTTTTTGTTTTTGTTTTGTTTTTTTTTTTTTTTTCTCTGATGTTTCCAAGTTGTTGACTTCAAGGAACTGGGTTTTGTGTATTTTTTTAGACACTGGGAACTTGTTAAAAGGAAAAGCAGCAGCACCGGGAGGCGCAGGGTGGAGTGTAGCTGGAGCTGAGGGCAGTGCCGGCCGGCGTGGGTGGGAGGTCGGACGTGTCGGCAGCGGCCGGAGCGGGCAGGGAGCAGGCAGGGAGCAGCTCTCCCTGCGAAGGGCAGGAGAAGCCTTTCAGCGGCCGCACTCCCGGCCCTGCTTAACCATGGTGCCAAGTTCACCGCCCGCCAGCCTGCTCGCCTCCGAGACACCCCACGTGTCGGATACAGCGCCTGGCTTTGAATGTCCCCTGCCACCCTCCGGTGCCGTGTGCTCTTGGCTGGGGTCCTGCCTGCCGGCTAGCCCCCCACTCCCAGGGAGGGTGGCCCTGACTGCCCGCTGCCCGTGAGGAGGGGGACACGGGGGGGCCACCCGTGACAGCAGCCTGAGTTGTGCTGAAGCCGCGAGCGGGAAGGTTTGCTCAGAGGTGGGGAAGCCTTGGTGCGAGCGGCCCCAAGCCGCGTTCCTCCCCCGCTGAGGTCTGCTGGCAGCAGAGGGCAGTCCCCTGCAGGGTCCCGTCCCCCCCAGCACAGCGGGAGGCAAGGTGCCCGGCTGAGGTGGGTGCCGGCTGGAGCTGGCGGGCACGGGGGTGGTGGCTGGGGTGGGGGACGTGTGGGTGCTTGGCCCTGGCCAGGACTCGTCTGTTGGTTCTAAGCAGGGACGCCAGAGCAGGTGAGAGAAACCTACATATTTCCAGCATGTATATTATTTTTAGAAGAGGGAGAGGGGAGAGTCTTGGACCATTGATTACTTTCATTTTGCTCCCCTTAGACTGTTGGCTGTGTATGTGAAACTTATAATGAAATGAGGGTTGCCCTGCCCAGGTGCTCCCAGAACATGTACTGTAATTCTTTGTATATAGAAGAAAAAAATTACTGTAAAGTAAAGTTTAACTTTACTCTCGATGTCCTCTTGTGGTTTGTCTTGCCGAGCGGGGAGGCGCAGGGGAGGCCCGGCTGTGCCCAGACTCCGGGGGCAGGGATGGGAGAGCCCCGGCAGCGGCTCAGGCAGGGGACGGCTCAGACCACAATGTGTTTTATTTACATTGTACACCTCGAGAGAAGACGCTTAAATAAATCTGCAAAGAATTGGGCAGCATCTCCGAGAGAATAAGTTAACAGCCGCCGCTGGGCCACAGCAGTGACTTGGGGGAGAGCGGCTCCTGCAGACGCCGGGTGGCAGGGAGAGGGTCCCCAGGGGTGATGGCTCACGGCTCCCGGCACCGCAGGAGCCTGCCGCTCCCCACGCCGGGAGGAGAGCAGTCTGCAGGGCTGCCGTGGCACAGACGGGCCCGTACAGCTAAAACACAGCAGGTAAAAAAAAACCAGAGGAGTCCGGTGCACGCCGGCTGCCCGGCCGGCAGCAGCGGTTCCCTTTTGGCAGGAGGTCTCAGTGGTGGCAGCAGCTGTAGAAGTAGGCACCGCTCCTCTGGCCCAGGTCGACACCCTTCTCCTCTGGAAGAGAGCAGGGGCGGCAGGCTGCCGGCACATCCACCCCGTGACGCCGCGTGGGAGCCCAAATGCTGCCGGTCCCAGGCCTGGGCCCTGGCAGGTCCCTTGGGGAGGGGTTTGGTGCCCCCCCCGAGAGAAGCAGCAAAGCTCACGGCCACGGCACGGCCCAGGGCTGGAGGCGCAGCCGGGCTGAGCACGCCTGGACAGGCCCGGTGCAGAGCTGAGCACCCGTCCTACACCTGAGCTAGGCTGCTGGCCGGCCGAGCCTGGCCTGAGCGGGGACGAGGACACCGTGACAGGGACCCAAGCACTGCGGGACAACCCCGGGTGATAGCGGCCCCGGGGAGGGGGGGGGCGAGGAAGGGCCAGACCCCACAGCACTCATCCTCCACACTCTCCCCAGGGACACGTGCACCCCCCCGGCACGGGAGAGGGTGCTTGGGGAGGGTCCTGCCAGCTCACCTGTCATCACCTGGAAGGCGGTGAAGTGGACGTAGTCGTCGGCCACCTTCTGGAACAGCTCGTCTGGGAGGAGAGCGGGCAGGGTGGCTGTGAGCAGCCCCACCGCCAGGCAGAGCCCCCCCTGGTCAGCAGCGAGGGGGCTACTTACCCACGCTCTGGCCCGTCTTGCTGGAAGTCTCAAAGAGCTCTGCTTTGATCTCTGAAATGAGGGCCCAGGTTGGCACCTGCTGCGGGCGCAGGATGTGGCCCCGCGGGCTCAGCTTCCCCCCCCCCCCCCCCCCCCCGTGCCAAGCCACCCCTCAGGCACGGCTGCCAACAGCCCCGCTCCGGACAGGCTGTGCCCAGGGAGGTCCCTGCCAGAGCCCCGGCACCACCGGACCCGCTGCGGATCCAGGAGAAGGGCCCCTCATGCCTCCCACAGCACGTGCAGACGCGGCAGCTCCGTTTCCCCCCCCACCCACTCGGCACAGCGGGAGCTCAGGACGGGCCAACACTGCTCAGCCGCGACCACCCTGGCCCCACGCGGTGCCTGGCCGTACCGTCGGCGTAGTCCTGCACGTCGTGGAAGTCGACCCCCCTCTTCCTCCTGTCCTCCTCCAGCAGGTCGCTCTTGGTGCCGCACAGGTAGATCCGGCAGCCCTGCGGCAGGCAGAGGGGCGGGAGGGATGTGGCCGTGGGCTCATCCCCTGCCACCGGCTCCCCTTCCCCTCTGGTGAGCCTCTGCGGCGCACCCCCCCCAGCCTGGCCGTACCTCCTCGCAGTTCTGCAGCTCGTTCACCCAAAACTTGGCGCGCTGGAAACTGCTGCTGTCGGTGAGATCTGGGGGAGAGGGGTCAGGGTCTGCCCCTTCCCCCGTCTGCCCACCCGCCACTGCCCCAGCCCGGGGCCTTCGCAGCCGCCGGCTCTTTCCTCCTCCCGCGGCACCGTGCCCTTACCGTAGCAGACGACGGCGGCCCGTGCCCCACGGTAGTAGATGCGGCTCATGGCCTCGTAGCGTTCCGAGCCGGCCGTGTCCTGGGGGGTGACGGGGGAGCATTCAGAAGGTGCGAGGGGGTGTGGGGGGGGCGTCAGGGGTCCCCGTGCCTGGGGGTGGCCGGGGATGGGCACTGGGGTGCTGGCGCTGCCCTCGCCCCCGCGCTTACCCAGATCCCCAGGGTCACCGTCTGGTCCCCCACGGACATCACCTTGGCCACGAAGGCGGCCCCGATCGTCTGGAAGAAAAACAGGAGCGGTGGGAGCCTGCCCAGGGACGCGGGGGGAAACCACCCGGGGATGTGGGGAGGCAGCGTCCCGGAGACACGGTGGGGAAACCGACCCGAGGGAGCTGGGGGAGCACCAGCCCGAGGACGGGGGACGGACGGACGGACACGACTGGGGGGGGGGCGGAAATCCCGGGGACGCCGCCGGAGGCGCCGGGGGGGGTCAGTTCACTCACGTTCTGGTAGGGCCCGGGCCGGAAGCGGCGGTGGGCGCAGCGTTCCACCAGGCTGCTCTTGCCCACGCCCTCCTGCCCCAGCAGCACCACCTTGGCGTCCACCCGCCGCCCGCTCATCCTCCCCCGCCTCCTCCTCCTCCTCCTCCTCCTCCTCCCGCCGCCGCCGCCGCCGCCGCGGGGCGGGGCCGCAACCGGGTGGGGCGGGGCCGGCGCGGCGGAAGTGGCGCGACGGGACGAGGCGGAAGTGCGCGGCGGGGCGGCGGCGGCGGGGAGCGGGCGGCATGGCGGCCGCCCAGCAGGCGCGGGCCGGAGCGGACGCGGCGGTGCGGGCCTGAGCCCCCCCCCCCCCCCCCCCCACCTCCATGGGGAAGTACTGCGCCAGCCTGGGCGTCCTCAAGGGGCCCTGGGACCAGGTCTTCGCCGCTTTTTGGCAGCGCTACCCCAACCCCTACAGGTGCGCCGGGGCTGGGCGTCCCCCCCCCCCACCTCTTCTCCCGGTTCCCCCAGGGGGGACAGAGCCCGCTGCTCGCCTCCCACTCCCATCTTCAGGGGAGGGGGTGTGTGTGTGTGTCCCCCCCCCGCCCCGCGCAGCACCTGATGGTTCCCACCCCCGAGGTGTGTGTGTGTGTGGGGGGGGGGGTGTTGGTGTAAACCAGCAGCAAAGCCCTTACGTTTTCTTCCCCCACCTCGCCCATTTCAGCAAACACGTCCTGACCGAAGACATCGTGCACCGGGAGGTGACGGCGGACCACAAGCTGCTCTCCCGGCGGCTCCTGACCAAGACCAACCGGATGCCCCGCTGGGCCGAGCGCTTCTTCCCGGCCAATGTCGCCCACTCCGTCTACATCCTGGAGGACTCTATCGTGGACCCCAAGAACCGAACCATGACCACGTTCACCTGGAACATCAACCACGCGCGCCTCATGGTAGGTGCCGGCGGGTGGGGGGGGGGGGGGGGTTGGCAGGCGCTGGTCGGTGCCCACAGGCAGGTTTGTGCCTCTCATTGCAGGTGGTGGAGGAGCGCTGCGTGTACCGGGTGAACCCGGAGAACAGCAACTGGACCGAGGTCAAGCGGGAAGCCTGGGTCTCTTCCAGCCTGTTCGGCGTCTCGCGAGCCGTCCAGGTGAGCGCAGCTGGTTGCTCCAGCAGCACTGCGCACCCCCTCTTCAGACAGGCCTGCTGCTCCCCGCCTTTCCCTGTGCTATTTTTTCTGCCCTTTCCCCTCATTGTCCCCGTCCTCACAAGCTCATGGGATGCCCAGAGCCATCGCTGCTGGTGGGCACAAACCCGCGAGACATTTGGGACTGAACAAGCTGGGACAAAGCCCCAGGGGCTGTGTGTGACCTGGGAGCTGGGCTTGCACCTTCACGGACTTTTCCCTTGCAGGAGTTTGGTCTGGCCAGGTTCAAAAGCAACGTGACCAAGAGCACTAAGGGATTTGAATATGTGCTAGCGAGAATGCAAGGTGAGCACCCATGGGCAAGCTGGGGCTGACTGGGGCAGGTCTCTTGGGAGTTACAGGTCACACTGGGAGCAGGCAGGTCGTGGCTTGAATTAATCTGACTGTGAAATCTTCGTCCCTTGCCTTTGCCCCAGTGTCTTGGCACAGCCCGCTCTTCCTGAGCGGAGCAGCCAGGCAGGGGTGGAGTGCGGGCAGGAGGGGGATGTAATGCGGCCATAGTCATGTGCCTGTAGTTCCCCTTCGTGACGTGCCCTGGCATGCAGGTCAGGAGCCCTGGGCTCATTTTCCCCACTGCGTGGGGAAGTCGCCTCCGTGACAGGGTGACGGGGCTGGTCTAGCTTGCACCTGCCGGCACGCCTGTGCCAGGGCGGGGGCCCGTCAGGGCTGGGTCAACAACTTCTGTGTTACAGGAGAAGCTCCATCCAAAACACTGGTGGAGACAGCCAAGGAAGCAACTGAGAAAGCCAAGGAGACAGCTCTGGCTGCTACGGAGAAAGCCAAGGACTTGGCAAGCAAGGCAGCCACCAAGAAGAAGCAGTATGTGTGAAGAGCCAGGCACAGGTGGGCCCCAGCTGCACCAGAACAGATAGGAGCCTCCTTAGATTTTATATTTTTAAACTGTACAAGTCTGACAATCAGCTGCTGTTAGACCCTTTCTGAGATGTAATTATCATTAAAAAACTTACTCCCACCTCTGACTTGGTCTGGGGCTGGCCTGGTTAGAGCAGAACCTGGTGCTGCTCTCCACTCTGGGGGTCCAGCCCGCTGCCAGGGGTCTGAGCTCGCAGGCAAGATGCAGGCAGGGGTGTCACCAAGTGCCTTTACTAGAAAAATAGTGTCGAGTTCTGTACAAAAGAGGGGGGTGGCCGCGGGAGCGTGGAGGCAGGTTGCTTAATGCTCTTGCTTCCTTTTCCTGGCTCTCGAGGGGTGGCAGAGCCCTCTTGTAGCCGTGTCTGCTGGGGGGGTGCGAGGCATCTCCTGGCCCCCAGCCTGCCCAGGGATGCATGGGCAGAGGCAGGGGGGTGTCCCCGTGACAGCCGGGCCCTCTTCCCAGTGCACTGTGGCTGCTCAGCAGCCCGGCTGGGGGGGGGGGCCAGGCCAGGTGCTTAACCCGTGGCAGGGCTGGCAGAGGCGGCATTTCTGGCAGCAGCAGGCAGGGAGGAGGTACGCAGGCAGCGCAGCGAGTGCCGTCAGGACATGGGGCCGTGGGGGCTGGAGTAGCTGTGGTCCCTCCCGGTGCTGAAGCTGAACACGGTGCCGTCCACCTCTATCTCGGCATCCTCTGGGCACCGGGCCGGGCGGGGGGAGGCTGGGTCAGGCCTGTGGCAGCTTCCCCTCCCTGCCCTCCCTCCCCTCACTCACCTCCCTCCGAGGGCTCCGAGAGCTGGGACGAGTCCAAGCTGTCAGCCCGGGCCCGTTCCCCGCCCACGGGCGAGAGCAGCCGTTCTAGCCGCTGCCGCAGGCTCTGCTGCCGGTCACGCAGCTGGTCCTTGACCCTCCGTGCCCTCAGCTCCTGCTCCTCCAGCCTCTGCGGGGATCCGGTCAGCCGTGAGCACGGACCGGGAGCTGGGTCCTGAACGGTGAACCGGGCTGCCCCCCCACCCTCACCTGGATGTGAAGCCGGGCCCGGTGCAGGAGGCTCAGCGTGGTGGGACGGGCCGGCCCGGCGCCCACCGGCACCTGCTGCTTCAGCCGCTCCAGGCAGCACCGGAGCTGGGCTCTCCTGCGGGGGGGGGGGGGGGGGGGCGACGGACACACACGACACGGCGGTCAGCCCTGACGGGGGCACAGCCACCCCCCGCCCCGCCGCTTCCCCGGTACCTGTGCTTCTCCAACGCGTTGTGTACCGACCTGCGGGAGAGCCCGGGGTGATCAGAACCGGCGCTACCGGTCGCCGCCGCCATCCCGTTTCCCCCCCCCCCGGCCGCCGCTCACCTGCCGCTGCCCGCGGCCCGGCGGGACCGCGCGGGGCGGAGCGAGGCGTACCGGTGCTCGGCCTCGGCCAGGCACGGCGGGGACCGGGCACCGGCGGCCCCGCGCTCCCGCCGCTCCAGCGCCGCGGCCGCCCGCAGCAGCACCTGGATGCTGGTGGCCGCCGGCTCCATTGCGGGGGGGGTAACGGGAGGGGGGGGGGGGCGTGGGCGTGGCGGGACGAGCCGCGCGCTCATTGGCTGCTAGGCGCCCCGCGGCGCTGACGTCGGCGCGTCGGGGAAACAACTTCGGGCGGGAAAGTGCGTGCTTCAAATTTGAATCGGCGGAGAGGGGCCACGCCCCCCCCCCCCCCCCCCCCCCGCCTTTCCACGGAGAGGGATTTGGGGGGGGGTGCGCCCGTGTCCGCCCTAGGTGGGGCGTGTCGGCGCGCGCGGCAGGGGAAACGCGCGTGGGTGCCCACGTCAGCGCGAGGGGGGGGGGGCGGTGCACCCCCCCCTACTGCCACCCAGCCCACTCGGGGCACAGTCTGCCCCCAGGCCATTGCCCACCCCCCACCCGCACCCACGGGTGTCCCCGGACCCGCTGTCCCCACGGGAAAGTGCCGCAGCCCAGCTCCATAGAGCCCAGCCAGAAGGGTTTATCTCTTTATTAAAATCCATCGGGTGGGGGGGCGGGGGGGAGAGGGCCGGGCCCCACGGGCGAGGGCCAGCCTCGGGACACGGCCCGGGCGGCCCCACGGCACCCGCCGTCATGTGAGGGCTGTTTGCACCTTCTCAGGCCGGGCCCCGCAGGGCGGGGGGGGGGGGGGGGGGGGGAGACTCTGCCCTGGGGCCCAACAGCAGCCAAAGTTCACCTGAAAAAAAAAAACCACACCACCACCACGAAGCACATTTCCACCCAGGGTACGGCCGCGGTGCAGCGGGTGAGGCGGTCCTGCCGCCGTGCGTGGGTGGGGGGGGTCCTGCCACAGTGCCCACCCGGCCCCGAGGGGAGTCGTGGGGCCACGGAGCCGCCCAGCAGCCCCGGAGGGACCCTTTCCCCCCACCCCCTCCCCAGACTGCAGCCTCCTGCAGGTGCCGACCTGGCGTGGGGAGGGGGGTGTGGATGTGTGTGTGGGGGGGGGTCTCACTGTCACCGGGCGCGCCGGGGAGTGGGCGAGAGGTGCGTGGCGTAGCAGTGCGTGCAGACACGCACGGGTTTCGGCTGGCCGTAGTGCGGCAGCGCGGCGGCATGCGGCGAGCAGCGGGCACAGAAGATCTGCAGGGAGAGGGCCGGAGTGGGGCTGAGAGGAGCTGGGTCCCCCGGGGGGGGGTATGGGGGGGGGGGGGGGTCCCTGCGCACCCCTCCAGCTCAGCACCCCCCCTCTCTTACCTTCCCGCAGCTGCGGCAGTGGTGCCGGCGGCGCAGCAGGGTGAAGGGCGAGTGGCAGGCAGAGCACTGGCTGCACGTGCTGTCCGGCACCCACTCGGGCAGGTGGGGGGTGCCTGATGGGCAAAACACGTCTGTAAAAGCCCCCCCCCAGCTCCCCATCACCACCCAAGCCCCAGGAACGTCCCCAGTCCTCCCTGGGGCTGGACCCATCCTCCTGGGGGTGCTGGGGCTGCCCCGCTGAGGATGCAACTGTCCCTAATGCGCATGGGGGTGCCCAGGGCAGCCGGACCCCCCTCCCTGCACCCCCCCCCAGGCAGGATCAGTCCCAGCCTCACACTCTGCCCCAGAGTTGCGGCACCCCGGGCAGCCCCTTACCTGCTCTCTGGAACCCGGCAGCCCCCGTGGGGCTGGAGCACAGGGGACAGTCGGCCACGCGAGGAGCGTCTGCCGCACACGGGTCACCGTCCTCTTCCTCTGCGGGGACAAGGGCTGTGGGGGTCTGGCCAAACCAGAGCTGGGCTCAACCCCATGGGGCTGGGCACTGTGGCTGCGGCCTCGTCCCACCAGGGCGATGGTCAGGGCAGAGAGGAGCCATCCCTCGCGTCCCTGGGGGTTACTCACGGCTGGCACGCGCCTCCTCCGAGGGCTCTGCCTGCGAGGCAACGATCTTGAAAACTGTTTTCAAGATGCTCCGCAGGTCACTGGCAAAGTTGGTCTGGAGCTGATCGGCCACCCCTGCACCAGGAGGGGGGGGGGGGGCGGTCAGGATGTTGGAGAGGGGTCAGGGTGCTGGCGGGGGGGTTGGCAAGGGGGTCACTCACCTGAGATGCAGACGAAGAGAGTGTGCAGCATGTCCTTGGTGCTGCCATAGCGGGAGCGCAGCTCTGAGCAGTGAGCATCCAGGGTGGCATCAAGCCCCGTCCCTGGGTTGCTCCCGGGGGGCTGAGGGCTGCGCAGGGGGGAGGTGACGGTTACCCCCGGGGTGGCATGAAAAATCCCCATCCCTGTGGGCAGTGATCTGCCATCTTGGCCCCCCTCCCTCCCCTCCACACACCCCCACCGCTGGTCGGTGCCTGGGTCATCCACCGTGCCAGGGGGTCCCAGCCACGTTGTGCAGGTGGTGGGGGGGGTGGTGGTGCAGGGGACCTCCAGGGGACCCCAGGGAGCAGGGGGCTCCACTCTGGGTATGGCTGCCCCCCAAGCTGTGGGGGTGGCTGGACCGCAGGGATCGTCCAGTTCGGCTGTGCACAGGCTCCTCTCCAGCAGGCAGAGCTCCTCCACCGACAGCACCCGCAGCAGGTCCCTGCAGCAAGGGGACAGCGTCAGCCCCACGCCACGGGCTCACTGCTGCCCCACAGCTTCCCCCATGGGTGCCCATCGCCCCCCCCCCCCCCCCATGTACCTGATCTTCTTCAGGAGGTTGTAGAAGGGGCTGAAGACCTGGGACATCTGCTCAGGGCTCCGCTCCAGGCTGAGGGGACCCTCAGGGTAGATGAGGAGACCACTGCGACGGGACAGAGCCCAATTTATGTTGGGGGGTTGCCTGGGAGCACCCAGTCACCCCTGGTTACCCCCTTCTCCAGCGAGCTTGCACCCACCTGATAATGGCCAGTCGAGGGATGGTGAACATCAGCAGCGGTTCGTAGCCATCAATCATCTCCTGGGTCAGGTAGCCCAGGCGCAGGGCTCTGGTGGGGGGAACACACCCTTACAGTGTAGCCGAGCCCTGGGATGCTGCCCCATCCCTGGGGCTGAGGTCCCTGCTCCACCCCACCTGGTGCACGATGCCCCTCACCTCTCCACCGTCTCACAGAAGAGCACGATGATCTCCTGCTGCCTGTAGATCTCCTCAGGAGACTTCACTGCCACCAGCGAGGACACATAGCTGGAGGGACGGGGGGACCATGAGGCTCCTCTGGCCCTGGCACAGCCCACCCCCCCACCCTAATTCTGGCCCCCACCTCAGCTCAAACTCCGCAAAGAGCCGGTCGAACTGGACGAGCACAGCCCGGACGGGCTCGGGGTAAGAGCCAGGCTGGCTCAGGCTCTGCTCCCGCAGCACCGTCCGCACCAGCTCCAGGCTGCACAGCAGGTTCCTGGCCTGGGGCCGCAGCTGCACCCCGTCCGCCTCCTCCACGTCCAGGAAGGTCCCAGCCAGGAGACACTGCCAGGACCAGGGGCCGTCAGGAGCCCCCAGGGTCAGCCCATGGTGGGGTGTGCCATCTTGGCTGGCACCCGTCACCCCCAGGTTTGGGGGAGCCAGACCCCATCGCCCACCCTGGGAGAGGAATCTCTGGGCTCACCTCGGCAGCAAACAGCATGTGGTTCCCCAAGTTGTCCACCAAGAGCTCCTCAGGGAATTTGACCAGGTAGTCACGGCTGTGCCGCTGCGTGGGGATGCACTCCTCCATGATCCGCTCCAGGACGGCCAGCAGATGAGCCTGGGGAGGGCAGGGATGTCACCCACGGCCACCCGGAGGGACTGGGGTCACACCGGGGCCGGGGCTGCCCCTGTACCTGGCTGAGGTGGAGCTGGTTGAGGAGCACCAGGTATTGCTGCGGGTCCAGCTCGGCATCCAGCCCGTTGATCTCAGTCACCACCCGCGTCACCCTCTCGTCGGCAAAGAAGAACTGGGAGAGCAGGCGGGGGTCGGAGCGCTGTGGGGAGAGCAGGGGGGCAACAGTGGGACCACCCCGCGGCTCCGGGTGCTGGGCCTGAGGGACCCCAAATCTCCCATCCCCGCAGCCGGGGAGGGCAGGGGCTGCTGGGGTTTGCTCCCCTGGGGCTGGTCCCTGTGGGGCAGCCCCGGGTCCACAAACACCCACTCGGGAAGGTACGTGGGGGCTCCCACGGCGGCTCCGGCTCTGCCGAGCTGTGCCCGGGGGAGGCGGGGAGGCAGGCGGCTCTCGGTCGAGCACCTCCCGGGGAGCGCCGCCGTCCCCACCCACCCGTGCCTCAGTTTCCCCAGGGGCAGAGCAGGATGAACAAGCTCGGCCGCATCCCGGCAGCGTGGGCACGGATCCGTGCGCGGCTGTAAACACCGGCTCAGGTGAAAGGTCCGCGGGGAGCCCCCGGTGGGGAGCGGGCAGCCCAGAGGGCCGCCCCTCGCCCCAACTCTCCCCCAGACCCCCCCCCCGCTGCGGGGCCAGGGGGGATGGAGGGGGAGCGCGGATCTCCTCGCCCTCGGGAGCGGGCGGTGCCGGGACGAGCGCTGAGCCGCCCGGTCCTGCCCGCCGCTGCCCGTACGCCCCGCCGCACCTCCAGCCCCGGGGCCGGGCACCGCTCCCTCCTCCTCCTCCTCCTCCCGCTCCGCCCCGTAGAGCCCCCGCCGCCCCCCCGGGCAGCCCCGACGGGGTGGGGGGGCGCCCCCCGCCCCCGGCCGCTCACCTTGGGCCGGCGCAGCCACCGGCGGAGGGCGGCGGGCAGCATGGCGCGCCCCAGAGCTCTGCCGCCGCCCGGCTCCCCGCGCCCGCCGCTCGCCGACGGGGCGGGCCGGCACCGGGCACCGCCCGGGGGCGGACCGGGGCGGTGTCCTCCCAGCCCCGGCACCGGGACGGCCCGGCGGAGCGGCCCCCCCGCACCGTTGCCGCTCGACGTGAGCGGTTCCCTTGCGGCGGGGCGGGCGGGGAAGGGACCCCCGTGGGGTGGGGAGGGGACCCCCGCCGACTGCCCCGGCTCCCCCATCCCAGTGCTGCGTCCCGGTCTCGCTTCTCGTCTCTTAATTCCCGACCGCAACCCCCACGTTCCCGGTTCTCCCCTCCCTGTTCCCTGGCTCTTCCCTCCTGGTTCCCCGGCTCTTCCCTCCTGGTTCCCCTCTTCCCACAGTCCTCCCAGGCCCAACCTTCTGGGGACGGGGACACCCCAGAGTTCCAGCTCTGCAGCCCCCCTAGCCCTGAGCATCCCTGGGCTGGTGGGGGAGCACAAGGGGGAGGCACCTACAGGCACCCCGCCTGCTCCCTGCTCTCTGCTGCAGTGGGAGGGGGGCAAAGCAGCCCCTCAGTGGGAGCAGAAGGGTCTGAGTGGCCAAGGAGGAGCCCCGGGGGGGTGCTTGGGGCTCTGGGCACAGCAAATCACTCCGGATGCTCCTGTGCCATGCCAGGCCTGGCACTGCTGGCCACAGGATGTGGGTGCTGATAATTCGGGTGGCTGAAAGCCTAATGGGGTGGATTCATGGGTGAAAAATTTACCGCGGACGATTAAATAAACACGGTTAGCACCACCTTGGCTGGAGGAAGTCCCTGAGTCACGATGGCAGCCCTGCAGTGCCCCAGCTGAGCTGGCTGGGTGTGGGTGTAGGGCTGGCCTGACACTGGGGCTGGTGTCCCCATGGGCTCCGGCTCTGATTTTGGGCCGGGCAGCGTATCCTGCCTCCAATGGCTGGGGGTCCCTGCGCACACAGTGAGCCTGGAGCCCTGCCCGTCCTGCAGCTGCAGGCAGCTCTGCCATGTTATTTTGGAGGGGGGTACAGTGGGCTTTCCTCGGCTGCCGAGTGCTCCACCCATCCCCCTGTCACCAGCACCACGCTCTGCCCCACCGCAGGAGGGCAGCTCCGGCGACATGAGGTGTGGTTTGGAGTGATGTATGGCCACACGCACACCAATGCCACGATGGGGTGCTTTGGGGTGATGCATGGCACCGAGGCGGGCAGGGAGGTGAGGAGCTGAGCTCTCTTGGGGGTCACCCTGGGGGGCACCCCAGGGCTGCAGGACCTGGTGCACTGGGACTGCACAGAGGGGCAGCAGACCCCCGTGGGCAGCCTGGGATCAGGCAGCAGCGAGAAGGTTGGGGCAGTGGGCACGGGGGGAGCGCGGGAGCTCTGCCTGGACGGAGGGTCACACAGCGTGGTGCTGAGCACGGCGCTGCACAGCCGGGATGCACCCAGGATACTGGGAGAGCACCGCTACACGGGGATGGGGTGCAGATGGGCTGGAAACCCACACAATGTGCCGTGGGGTCTTCCACCAGTGGGAAGGCTGGGGTAGGGGGCAGTGTGCTGCTCACCCCCACTGCACCAGGGGTACCGGTATGCCGGAATTGGGGTGCAGGGATGCGTGGGTCCAAAGCTGCGTGTCTGGGGTCATGCTGTGTTGAGGATGCCGTGGTGCTGAGCACGGCGCTGCGCAGCCGGAGCGCACCCAGGGTACCGGGAGGGCATCACTCCACGGGAAGGGGGTGCGGAGGGGCTGGAACCCACGCGGGCGTTGAGGGGTGCTGCACCACCAGGAAGGCCAGGGCAGTGGGTAGCATCCTCAGCGCGGGGGTACCGTGTGCCAGGGCTGGGGTGCGGGGGGTCTTTGGGATTGGGACGCCCCGAAGGCGCCGGCTCTTTTCAGGACCCGGGGGAGTCAGGCGGGGGGAGGGGGGCGGAGCCGTGTGTCACGGCGGTGCCGCCCCCTCCCTCCGCCAGGTGGCGCGCTGTCGCCCGTCGCTGCCCTCTCGAAAAATGGCGGCGGCGGCTTCACCTCTCCGGGCCTTTCCCCCCCCTCCCTCCTTCCCCCCGGGCAGGGGCCGGACGGGCCGCGCCGCCATATTGGCTGTTGTCCTGGCTGCGGCGGGCGGCGGGCCGCGCTCGCCATGACTCGCAGGCGGAATAAGGCGGCGGCAGCAGCGGCGGGTGGCGCCGGGCCTCGCCGCGAAAGGGTGGGGGGTTCCGACGCTGGTCCTCCTCCTCCCCCTCCTCCGCCACCGCCGCCGCCACCGGAACCGCCCGCCCCGCCTGAGGCGGCGGCGGCGGCGGCGGGCAGCAGTGGGGAGCCGGGCAGAGCCACCGCTCAGGTACCGTGTTAGGCCGCGCGGCGGGGAAGGAGCGGTCGCTGAGGGTATTCCGCTTGGTGCGGGGATGGGGCAGGGCCCCCCGTCCCGACCCCGACCTCGGAGCATCCCTGAGGCACCCCGCCCCTTGAGCCCCCCCCACTCCCCCATCTCCCTCCGACCGATTTTGGAGGGTCCTCTGCACCTTCGGGGGTGGCAGCGGGGAAGCCCCGGTGATGCCACGTTGCTGGGGTGCACCTTGGTGGCGGTGGGGCGGGCCCGGGCTGAGGTGAGCTGGGGGGGTGGGAGGTGAACCCCAAGCCCTTCTCTGAAGGGGGGGGCTTGGCCACCTTGGGATGTGGGAGCCACTTTTTCCAGCATCCTGGAGCGCGCGTTGGGCGGAGCTGGGTGTGTTTGCAGGGCCTGACCTTGGCTTTGCTGGGCTGGGTGGCGGAGCCGGCTCATGGCCTTGGGTTGCGGATGCGTGGAGCTGCAGTGGCTCTTAGGGATGTCCCTGTTCGGGGGCTGGAGTGCTGGGGGCTCCCGCTGGTGTGTAGCATCCCGGGGGCTCATTTATCCCAGCAGTGAGGGAAAGCTGACTACAGCCTTTCCTGGGGAGGGCGGATCAGGCGGCGAGCCTGTCCCCCACCATTGCACGCTACTCCCCCTGACATGACCAGCAGCACGAGAGCAAAGGACCCTCCCAGCCCCTTCTGCACCCCTTACTCTGTCCCCGAGCGTAGGGAGATCATGCAGGTGTGCTCAAGGAGAGCTGTGTGTGCTCCAGAGGGCAGAGCCCTGGGCTTGGGGACGGGCGCGCTCGCCCGGGTGGCGTGGCGTGCTTCAGGGGATGGTCCCGCAGCCCCTTCTTTCAGGAGAGCTGAGCCCTGGCATGGGGCGATGGCAAGTGGCTGGAGCATCTGCCAGCCGGGCTGCAGGGCCAGCTTCCTTGCCCCTTGCTGCCTGACATCCCTTGACACTCCTGGTTGCTGCTGCCCACTTCGGGTCACGGGCAGGGAGCCCAGGGGTGGCCCCCGGGCCTGGATACGCTGGGTGGAGTGGGGAGAGCTGTCTTCTCACCCGCTGTGTGCGGCGGTGGCTGCGTCTGCCCCTGCTGAGATACAGGGTGGCCTGGGAGCCCCTTCCTCCCTGTGGCTGGCGGGGCGGGTGGGCAGAGGGGCTGTGCCCCTCCTCTGTTCTCCTTGGCCTCCGACCTTTGCTTCACCTTGAGCCTGGGAGACGCCATCTGTTTCACAGCAGCGGTTCAATGTGCGGCTCATTGTTGCGGGGCCCCGCCATAGCAGCAGACAATGGGGGCCCCCCTCGCCCGTGCCACGCTGGTCTCGTCACGGCTGTCAGGGCTCTGGCGAACCCGTGGGCTGTGGCCCGGCTCCTGCCGCAGCACCAGGCAGGAAGCCCCGACCTGGCTGCCCCATGCGGGGAGAGCGCGAAGCAGCGCCGGGGGCTGCACCCCACCCCAGCGCATCTGTGCTGCCGGCTGCGCAGAACAAAGAGGCGGGTGGGAGGGCCCGGGGCTCTCGGGTAACGCGGTGGGGTGTCTGCGATGGGTAAGGAGGGAGAATTGTGGCTGCCAGACCCCTGCTTCGGATCCCTGTGTGGCAATTTCTGCGGGTCTTGATTTGCTCTGTGAGTCTCCTTGGTCCCGTTGTACCAGAGGTGATAGTGGGAGTTGCTGGTGGCTTCCCAGCCTTGTTTGGTGGTGGGACTGGTTCTTTAGCGTGGTGTGATCCTCCCAGGGGTCCAAAATGCTCCCAGCTGGCACATGGTAGCAGATGGGCAGCCTGAGGCTGCTCCCCTCCAGTGGGAGAAGGTGCAGTCCCACATGTAGCCTTACAAGAAATTCTCTGGTTTGGTGTCAGTGTCCTGAGGTCTTGTTTGCTGCCTTATCTGCCCTGCACCTGCGTCGACCTGAGGCCCTGCTATGTGACAGATCACACCTGGGGTGACTCGTGGTGTGTGTCCTTCTGCAGGTGCTGCCCACCGCCAACCAGTCAGTGCAGACGTGCTGCCTGCTCTGTCACCGGGAGCGCAAGGACTGGGGAGGGCCGTCCCACAATGGGCTGGTTTCCCCGGGCGAGAGGCTGCCACCGGACTTCGTGCCAACACTTGTGCAGAACCTCCTGGGAGAAATGCCACTGTGGATCTGCCAGAGCTGCCGGAAAAGCGTGGAGGAGGAAGAGCGGCGGGCGGTGCAGGAGCAGGCCCTGGCGGTAAGTGGTTACGGGGCTGGGGCTGGAGAGGCTGGGGCTGTAGCTCCCAGGACCACGGTGTAGACCATGCTATGGTGCTGGATGGGTGTGCGGTTCCCCTCCTTGCTCGGAGCTGAGCACCTCAGACATCCCAGCCTTGCTGCTCCCTGCAGCTGTGCAGCCTTCCCCCAGGGCTGCTGCCGCCTCCTCGGGGAGAGACCGTGGTGGGGCAGAGCGTGGTGCCGTGGAGACTTGTCTGGCAGCCTGTGTTGGGTTGGAGCTGCCTGCCTGGCGAGGCCAGCAGT